TGTTAATTTGAATGAAGGCTAGTTTTCCTCGAATATATTATTTTCTTCATTATTTGGATGCTTATGGTCAAGGATTAAGTAGTTATCTTTGTTAATTGTATTTTGAATTTCATGGAAGTTCTATTCACTTTCTGTATATTTTGTTGTGTGAAATTTGTAGTGTTCATGTAAAGCATTGTCTAATAAGGGACTTCAGATTCATGATAGTTTTGAAATATAAAATAAACTAAAATTTGAAATTATTCTAGTCATGTTTCAAAAATAATCGTCAAAATTTATCATCAGTAATACAGACTAGACTAAGGAAATGCTTGATTTAGTTATGCATCATTTCAAATTCAAGTTTCAAGTTATTCCTGATATTTCAATTCTATTTTGAACCTGAAATAAATATTCATTGCTTTATTCAACCCTGGTATATGTAGATCTCAAAGGTTGGTTCAATTTGTAAGAACCTGAACATTTTAAAAATTGCATTTCAAGTATTCATCTTTAAAAAGGCATCATCATTAGGCTTCATGATACATAGTTTTACTTTATTTGTGGAATTGTTAATAACAGAGTCAATGCCACTTTTATTTGTCATGTGGATTTTTTTATGAATGGGCCTTATCAGGTGAAAAGATTTCAAACTGGAAACTATTTATTGAGCAAGTTTAAATCCCAAATGCTTGTGGATATTTTGCTTTTTCTGTCATTGTTCTCATTCATGTTGATCAGTTAAATAGTTGAAAATTCTGTTGCAAATTCTCCCCTCATCCATTATATCTAACATTTCAAAAACAAGTATGTGAAACTAGAAAAAGATTGAAGGGTTGTGCCTTAAAAGGTTTTTTTTTGTTAAGAATAAATCATTTATCATTATCTACTGAACTGAAAATCTTTCAATTGTCATCCTTTGTTTAAAAAAAAGTTAACATTCCCTTTGATCAAAACACAAAAGAGATAGTTCTGTAATTATTCTATGTTTTGGTTGACAAACCTTCAATTTTTGTTCATTTGCAATGAAATAAACAAGATTTTGATCTCATGGGTTGTGAAAATGTAAGTTTTGTCAGCATGTCATGTGAATAATTGGAAGATTATTATCTTTTTAGTTCATGAAAAATTAATAGTTGGATAGAACATTACCTTTAATGTTTTTTAAACTGTTCTGTTATTTAACATATTAATTGTTTGAGGTTTTGAACATTTATATTTACATCAGAGTTTGTCAAGTAATAATGTTATGAATGATTTACAAGATATTCGATTAATTTTGTGTCTTGGTTGTCTGCCCGACACTAGTCTAAACATTGATATAAAGTGAAACATGTTAATGTCAATGAAGGTATATCAATGACTGTTCAAAGAAAAACATTACTTTATAAGTATATCCAAAGAACTTGCCTATGTAAATATGAATTGTTAAAACTTCATGTTCATATCACATCTGAATTTATTGTTCATCTTTGACTTTTAATTTGCATTAATTTGAAGTTGCATCCCTTTTCATCTCAATATACATGCAGAGTGGTGGATTTATGTAAAATATCATTGAATTTACATTGTTTTAATTTAAAAAAAAATTGTTGAAACATTCATGAGAGAGCGACTCTATTTTTGTATGAAAACAAATATGCTTTTATGCAATTATTACTTATGAAAATATAAAAAGTTGTGTAAAGAGGAGGAAGCTTAATAGTGCTGTTAGTAGTCAGGAGGGTCACAGTATCATTACCTCCATTAACATTGAAGTAATACATTTTATTATTCAGTTCATTTGAATATCATTTTTATAAAAACACCAGAAAATATGTGAAATATGAACCTCACTTATATCCATTACACTAAATTGTGTGGTTGTCTGCACTTACCAGCAGAGGTTTCTTTTATTCACTATTGAGTTATGCATAATTTCATTAGATTTGGTACAGTTGTGTTGAACCAAGAAAACTTGAATGTAAGGAGCAGGAGAGAAAATTAAAAGTCCTTGCAGAAACTTGTTACTCAGGGTATAATGAAATAATCTTTATGCTAAATAACAATTACCAGAGAGAAAAACATCACTTTGTTATAAAATGTTGTTTATGAAATTTAAAAAAATGTATTATCTTGAGCAAATGTATTTTACCATCAAATACACAAAATCACAATGTTGTAGCATATATTTTGATCTGTCCCATTGTTTTTAAGACTACACTATAAATAGTTGTTAATGCTCAAATCTTGTGGTTTTGTGGAGAATTTCAATGAGGAGAGGAGATTGATAGAATAGAGGATATTGTTAATTCTCTCAATTATCATTCTATAACACTTTTAAAAGGCAGCTGCTGTATTAGAGAAGGGGAGAGTTTGTATAATAAAACATTATTCAATGATCATAGTGTTTGTTTTGATTAGGAAACCTGCAAATACATGCTTGCTATTCCCTTGTTCATAAAATGCCATAGTTAAACAACCTACCTGAATATTGACTCCAGAGGGTCTTATCAAATGTGAAGTCCACTGGTCGCCGGCTGAATTGACTTTAACTACTACAAGAACACATAGAACGTCTTGGTACTTTCCGGGGTTTTAATTTCAGGCACTATCTTTTACATTACTTCCTTATCAGCCGCCTTGTTCTGTGTCCTTAAGGGAGGTAGTAGATTTGAGTTTACCAGAAATCGCCTCTTCCTGAGTAAAGTGTTGGGCTCGTTGGTTAGCTCAAATGAGAGGAGACCTTGCCCGTTGTAGTCTTGTCTTCATCATTTACTTTTCTGGTGTGGCGAAAGAGTTTCGGTCATTGGCAGACATTTTTGGTGTGTCTTTTGGTAATTTCATACTAGTATCCTAGTAGGTCATGCTAACTAGTTAATCCGACTGAGTCTTCGAGGCAACAGTTGTGGCCCTTTTTATTCGCCCGCATAAAGTGAAGGGCGTATATTGCCGTCATGTCCGTTCGTCAGTCCACAATTGCTCGTAAACACTCGACTGCTTTTGACGAAACTTGGTATGATAATGAGTGTTTGTAATCACCCAAGGATGAACCCTATTGAAAATAAGAATTTTGTTGAGTTATTACCTTTGTTCTTGAAATAAGAATTAGTTTGAGTTATTACCTTTGTTCTTGAAATGCTCGCAAACACACTAGAAGGCACCATTCTTGACGGATTTTAATGAAACTTGGTGTGAGTCTTTGTTATCACCCTATTGAAAATCAGAAAAATCGAAAAGTAATAAGTATGAGTTATTGCCCTTGTTTATGAAAACGTGTTCAAATTTAGCTCATAAACACTCTAAAAGGCACAATTCTTGACAGATTTTGACGAAACTTGGTGTGAGTGTTTGTTTTCATCCATGGTTGAACCCTATTGAATATCGTAAATTGTTTTATACGAGTTATTGACCTTTGTTCTTGAAAAAGCTTTCATGATGATGATTTTATAGAGATACTATACAAGTCTTAGAATTAACATAAAATTTAAGAATTTTAAACTTAGCGAATAAGAGCCAGTAGATATACCTGGTGTCATAAATAACATAACAGGATACTTATATAATCCGATAAATCCAAAAAAACTTAGTAATTATCCATAAATATGCAATTAACTATTGAATTATTGACTAGTTTTCAATAATTACTTAGTTATATCAATTTTCCACATTTTACAGGGATTCTGTTGTAACTTTATGACACCAGGTAATCTAACTGATGAATATAGACTAATATTGACCTTTTCGAGAACTTAAATTTTATGTTAATTCTAAGACGTAGTATCACTTTAAATATCACACAAACTCGTTGCCGTGTTTTTATCTTATACATACAGCATACACTTACTTTAATATGAGATTTCCTAACGTTTGATTCTGTGCATTTATTTCGCCTCTTCTTTCCGAATAATATAATTGGGTTAGACTGATGACCGGAAAATACTTGATGTAACATACGGTTGTTGGAGGAAATACTTGATATTAACTATTTAACTTATAGCAACTGTTGAGCAATCTTCTCAATAATAGAAGGCGCGAGTCGGCTCCTGCTCCTGAGAGGCCTACACAGGTAAATTTTTAATTATTAGATCGTCTATAGATCAAATAAAAACTGTGGAAGGAAGACAGAAATGTTTAAAAAAAAATTAATTTAAAAATGGGTCAAATAGAATTTAATCTCTCCGGACGAGGACAATGTAAAACCACCAGGACACTGCATCTGGTTATCGCTTCGAAGACTGATAACAGATGGGAATCAGTGAGGTACATAGGACGAGGGCAAAAAAATGTTTTGCACTGCAATAAGTTTAAACGTTTTGCCAAAATATGTAAATATATAAATATATAAATCAATTCTTTTTTTTCGAAAATTTTCTTGGAAGAACCCTCTCAGAGGCCCGCGACAATGACTACTCAAAAGAATTGCCGCAATTTGAATTCGGTGTCGCAAATTATATTCTGAAATATCGACTCCAACATATAACATGTCATTGTAGATTATAATGGGTTTGTTTATATAGATCTTGTAAACAATTGATAATTAGTAAATACCTGGTAATTAACACAATCATGATTAATTAGATCTTGGATGTTTGCATTCTCTTGAATAGTTTTGTGTTTCTTTGCCGACCGGTCACGTGAACTTTATAAGTATATAAAGTGAGATAGGCCAATAGATCTATATGTCCATACGATTGCGAGCAAGATATTGCAGGTAGGACGACAGGCACTAACGCGCAGCTGACAATTAATTATAACCTCGTAGCCTTCGGTGACCAGTATGACCAGGCCATTTTCATCTCAATCAGTATTGGGAAATTATTCATTTTTCAATCACGTGGCATTTTTATTAACAGCTAGAATTAGGTTCGTTTATCTCTAAACTTTTACTAAATATTACATTGGAGTTTTATAAAACTTGTTCACAAATTTTATATGAATTACATTGATAATGAGAAAATAATTTATTTCGGTCTGTAGTATATTATATTGCGAGTTATCCCCCTGTATCTCGCGTGACATTGATAACATGCGTCATCAACCAAAAAGAAAACATTGGACCTGGAAGTAATCTTGTATCGAAACTTTTACATTATGAGTGTCTGTGTCCATTAATCGTAAAAGGAACACTGTTTGTCCGGAGACAAGGTGATGTTTTACCATGTCCAAGTTGTGAAACTATGATATTGCTCGTAACCTTCAAGTATGTGTCTAATTTTATTGGAAATTTGCTTGTTTCCTTGTTTGGCTTGGTTGAATGAATGAGAAATTATTGACTGATTTTGAGGTGAATGAATAGAGATGAATGGCTCGATGGTTTTATTTGAGAAGATTTATGTATATGCTTATCTTTTCTTTATTCCTAGCTGGTTGCTTTACATACTGTATTATTTTGTGTTGTGTATTGAAAGAAAAAAAGTAACAATAAGCTTATAATAAGACCCATACAAACAAAGAATTGTTCATTCTGCTTATTCACAACACAAGCTAGCTGCACTCTGTGGCTTTTTTCTCTACTATTCATTCATACTTCATGACATTTTTTTCTTCAGATGGTTTCATTATTTGACTCCCTTTACTGAATGAGGCTGGTTTTGTGTGAACTCTATTTTGTAAGTAAGATAGCTTAGCACTGTTGTGTCAATGTTGTACTGTTTGTATATCAAGTCAAGTAGTAGTCCTAGTTTAGCATGCTTGAAATTTTTGCCTATAAATGAGTTTTTATATCTTGCATGAAGACCTTTTTTGACTTTTTTTCTATCATGTGAATGAGTTCTGTACCAGTATTTATGATTTTGATAGAAATTGACTGAAACTCTTACGTTATCTCAATGTCAAAATGCATAGAAACCATGTTTGATCCCACCAATCAAAATCTTGTCTAAAGAATGGCAAAATCAAAGTGAAGTACCATCAGGCGTTTCCAAAAGAGTAAGCAAGCTCTGCTTCGCGCAACACCCACCACTTCTACAATGGTCAAAGTTATGAGATGCAACCAGATCAATTCATGCTTGACCAAACAAATCAGCTAAAATAGGCTAATATTCAATAAGGATGGAAAATAAAAAAAGATTTAGAGGGAAACATATTACCCATTGCAACATTACCTGTATTCATATGTCCAGTCAGATAAGGATGTTAATCTCAATTAAATATTTGGTTCTAAATCAGGCCTGTGCAATCTTTCTGCAACAGCGGGTCACATTTGGGGGAGCGAATAGGCCGTGGGCCACGTAACCAACCATCAATGAATCATGGTATTAACAATGAGAAACATACAAGTCATTTATTCAGCAACATATTTCAATATGCTTGGCAAATAACACTGTAAAATCACTGCTTCACACGAGGTCAGGTCAGACCTCCTTAAGGGTTTGATTTGTTAGATTCATTTTGACATCATACTTCGATATAACAGCACGGATATAACAGCTTTCGAAATTAGAATAGGCAGTGACATGAGCAAAGAAAGTATTTTCTCTTGGGCGGCATTACCCTCAAATTTTACATGACGCCGCGGGTCGCACGAAATCATAGACCGTAGGTTGCACAGGCCTGTTCTAAATGATGAATACCATAGCAATTTTATTTTTTTGATGAACTGTTCTATGGAGTTAAAGTTAGATATGGTGTGATTTAGTTTAATGATCATATAAAGATTAAAATGTTGATGTGATGAGATTTACCCCTTATTTTGCTCCAACCAATATTTACACTTTAAAAACTTAAAAGTCATAGCTGCCCTTCACAAAATGTTAAATAGGTTGGAGCACCGTAATTTGCATTTGGGCATTATGCAATCCTGAACATTACTGAAATATTGATTCAGATAATTCTAATCATGTTGACTGGATGGGAAGCTTTATGGAAAGCAATTATTGTACTGCTGTGTATTAAAGTTTGAGTTTCTGCCAGCATTATAGAAACAGACTCTATCCTGTAGATCTCGGTGGTCAATATTATATAGATTTTCCTTGAAGTTGTGAAGTTGATTTGGGTTTTTCCATGTATAAACTTGATTTGGTGATACCTTTTTGAAAAACAGTCTGATTTTTTCTTTTTTTTTCTTTACCTTTTTGTTTTATTTACAACTCTTTCATCTTGACTTTGATATGAATAATACCATACTAGGTGCCAAAGAATGTCACAGTCAAAATCGGAATCTGGTTAAGCATTGTTTACACATTCAAACAACATTCTGCAATTTTGACAAGTATGTGGATTAGTGCTAGGAAGAGCTGGGTTTTGATTATCAAATTGAGATCTATTATGGACAGCATGTTATCAATCAATAATTCAAATGTTTTAATTAAGAAATATTCTAAATGAAAAATATTTTTGTTTTATGGAAGCATAATAAATTGAATATTCATTGCTTTAATCAGTTATACTGTGCTGAAGGGAAACTTTGTGAAAGAATATATTACAAGTAGTGGATAACTGACTTGTAACTTTCTCTTTAAGTCAATGCACAAATGCACATTGATCATCGATTCTCACCAATACTGGTATTTAATCCAGCCCTATTGTTTCGGTTCGCCAATTAAGTAAGGATGATATGGATATGTATCTCATGTATGATTAGATACATATCAGGATATGTCAAGATCACACTAAACATGTATCTATTCAGTGATACATCCTGAAAGCACTGACTTGGATATGCTCTATAACTTAAGCTTACCAAATAAGTTTTGAAGAAGCACAAGTTTAATTTTTCATGCTAGACATGAACTGGCTGAACCAGTGAAAACAAACCAGACAAATAACATTGTAACCCTGAAGTTGAACCCCCTATAGCCAAGCGTTTTATAAGCACACTTTTATAGAAACTTAATTCTTATTTAAATGTAAAAAGCCCAAGAGAAAGACAAAACCATAGTATATTTAAGTAAGTAGGAAATTGGTAGTTGATGAAAACCTTATGTGGTAGAAGATAATAAAAAAACAGATCTGATTATTGACTATCACTATTATCAGTCTGTAAGGTTTGACTAGCTCTTATCTGTTTCTGGTACAATACATGAAATTAGGTTAATAAAACAATTTGGGTATTAACTGTAGAACCAGTTATTGAAAATAATATTGATGATTGATATCTGTTGCTGGGCTACTGCCTCATGGTTCTATTGCAATCTAGGGTATAAATAGAACATTATAAGATGCAGATAGCTTAACCAATAACTACCAGTTGATGATAATTCACGTAAATGCCAGTCTGTTTACTTTTGGAATCTGGCTCTATTTCTGCTAGTCATAAAAAATGCATTGCAATCAGCAAGTTGAAAACTTGTGAACTCTGTACATTATTAAAGGATATCAGCTGCTTTGAGTTTTAGTGTGATTGGATTATGAGTTTGATATACAGCGATAATGATTTATTCATAGGTATCAAGGTCATTCTAATATACTTTTGACAGATTGATATTGTAAGTAGAATGTTGCATTTTTTGGAAGTATTAACTGATTGGTTTTATCTTTTGACGTGTTGTATATATTGTACTTGGTGCACGTAGTCACGGAAATCTAAGCTTAATGCTATATTTTCTTATAGCTTATAGTCTTGCTTTCATTAAATTGTTAATTAAAACAGGATTTTCTGTTGGAAGATAATATAAAAAATTTGTAAGCCTACTAGTATTGGTATAATTCTAAAGGTAACTGGGTGAAATAAGTTTGAATAAGTTTGAAGGTGTGGTGTGGGATTATATAATATGCACTAGAAAAGAGAAGAGGTGAATATGTGTGTAGTGCGAGTCAATGCATGATACTTACAGGCTCTTTCTTAGTATTGTGCCTAATTTTCCAGACACACGAATGGTGGAATTTTTGTCGAGACACGAACCTTGAGTAAAATCTTCACGACAAGATTTAAAAAGAGTTTGATATTTGACGCTGACTGTTTTATCGTCTTCAAGACAGGGTCATCATCCAATCAGATTCATTTTCCATTCAATTGCATGATCTGCACGTGATTCTCGACAAGTTGAAAACGGCCAACTTGCAGCCAGTCTGTGAAACTATTGACGACAAAAATCGCCGACAAAGACTGTTTGTGTGTTAGTGGACAGGATAAGACTAGTAATATTATCTGACTTCAATAAAATATATTATATGTAGTCTAGGTTTTAATTTATATAATGGTATATTATTTTCTAACTGACTCTCTCTCATTAGTTTTTCCTATCAAATTAAATGGAATCAATTACTTGATGATTTTCTTGTATTAAACCATTACCTTAACATTCTGATTGTTGTTTACCATATTACTTCATATAGAATTGAATGTAATCTAGTTTTAAATGTTGTATGCTTTTCCATTCTGTTTATTTGATTTAAGGATATTGATTGAATTTTTTTTGGTTGGTCTGTGGTTTATTTTTGGCAATGGTTTGTATAGATCATGTTACTATCTTGTGGAATTCAAATTATGTTTGGTTAGCATCCACTAATTTGAGTTAAATTGCTTTGCATTCAGGTCATAAACCCACAAAACTTTCTTCAGAAAAAATACTTTTTCAATAAAACTGTTTTTCAGCAATGAAAACTTTTCTATCACAGTGAAGTCATAAAGAATTAGATGTGAAATCCAATCTTTTAGGTCAATAGATGAAGTAATCGATTTTGGATGAACATAATGTAAAATTCATTTGGGTTAAATTGTTCAAAATCAGTCACCAGATTTCATTTCATATTTAATGTTGGAACAAACTAAATGTAAATCTTTTTAGTCCTTTTTTCTTTGAATATCAAACCTGTGTTAATTTTAACATTTGTTCAGAATAAATGAAACCAAAAGGTCACAATAATATCTCAAATTTCTCTAACCATTGCACAAATAAACATTGTATCAAATGCAAGACTGCAGACAATTTAACCTGTTTGATAAGATTGATCTATTTTATCTATTACAGGTATGATGTCCTCAACTTTAGTGGAGACAGTTTCTATCAATTATGATGATTTTAATGATAGTTTTTTAACATGTGGAACTTGTTTATGTTTATATGATAGTGTAGAGCACAACCCTAAATTACTTCCCTGTTCACATACAGTCTGTAAACATTGCTTAGAGAGAATTGTAGCTGCACAGAACTTAGATACAGGTTCCTTTAGATGCCCAATATGTCGAGAAAATATACACCTACCTCAAGGCGGAGTCATAGCTTTTCCACCCAGCTTCCTTGTCAATCAACTTTTAGACCTTATGGCTAGCCAGAGACGAGATGTTGTCCCCAAATGTTCTGTACATTCTAATCAAGAACTGTTGTTTTGTGAAACGTGTGATATAGTCTTCTGCAGTCTATGTAGTGACAACAACCATAATGGCCGAGGTGCCAGTGAACATACTGTGATACCATTTGCCATTGCGATCAAAAGGATGTCAGAAATCCTACTTTATAAAGCTCATTTGTGTATTAAGAATCTCAACGGTGCGTATGAAAATATCTCAGATGAGTTGCGATCATTGGAACAGTCTGTAGACAAAACACTTGATTCTATTAATAGATCTTTTCAAGATGTCATGACAATCATTGAAAAAAGAAGACATGAATGTTTGCAATGGGTTCGAAAGATTCGCGAGGATAAACGCACAGTCTTAAAGGAACAACTGGATTTGATCCAAGCTGAGAAGGATAAAGTTCAGTTAGATTGTGGTAATCTTGAATATCAGGTAGAAGTGAGGAATATTACCAAACGTATCAGTGATTTGAATGAGAAACTAGATTCTACCAGTAATCTGGCTGAACCCAGGGAAAATGCATTCATTAAATATGAATTCAAGCATAATGATTCTCTCAAACAAATAGAAACAGCAGTGGCTAAATTTGGCCAAATCAAAATAAGTACAACTTTTCCTGCTCTATGCACTGGTAAAATTGGAGAGGCAATTTCCCATTTGCGAAGTTCAGCGCAAGTCATGACGGTAGATTACCATGGCAACCCTCGGCTAACAGGAAGTGACCCTGTTACAGCAGATTTAAGAACTGATAAGGGCGTATTAGTCGAGAGTAAAGTTAAAGACAATGATAATGGAACTTATGATATAATTTTTGTCCCACCTACCTTGGGTCGTCTCAAACTTAGTGTGAACATATTTAACAGAGCAATCAAAAATAGTCCCTTTATGATTGAAGTCAGTGACCACATCAATCCAGTGTGGAAACTTGGCTCAAGAGGGTCAGGAATTGATAATCTCAATCAGCCAGTTCGGATAGCGTCTGGGCCTAATGGTTTGATCTTTGTTTTGGATACGGGTAACAGTCGCATAAAAATCATCAATTCTGATGGGCAAGTAGAGAAACATATAGGACCCATTGGGCTAGAAAACCAAAGTGCTACAGGACTTTGTCTTATGAATGAGGGTAACCTTGCAGTGATAAATTGGAGGAGTAAGCAAGTGTCCATCATCACTCCAGAAGGAGAACTAGTCAGACAATTTACCACAACTGAATTTGTTGAGCCTACTGACATTGCTGTTAACAGTCGTGGTGAGATCATTGTAGCAGACAGTGGTGCTTCCAAGATCTTTATCTTTGGTTCTGCTGGCAATCTGATCACAACATTTGGTAGTAAAGGTATAAAGGATGGACAATTTAAACTGATCTCATCTGTGACTGTGGGAAAATGTGATGAAATATTTGTTACTGATCATCGAATCCAAGTTTTCAGTAAAGATGGTAAATTTTCCAGGTGTTTAAGTGACAGTGGCAAGGGGCAATATGGTGGTATAGTTGTTGATAATGGTGGCTTATTGTTGGCTACTAAAACTGAGAAAGGCAGAAGTTTTGTGCAGGTAATGGTTTCTATATATAAAGATTTTTTAATGTACTCATCATGAGCATTGCAATGGATCTTACTTAAAAATTGAAAGAATCATATAGTATTAATATATATGCATTATTTTACTATGAATACAATTTAAATGAAGATATTAAAATATTTTCAATGATTACACAGAAATTTTATTAATTATGATTTGACTCATGAGTAGTAAAGCATTGATAATACAAACTATAGTAGTCGTTAGGACCTTATCAAATCATATTCATCGAGAATTATTATTGATATGTGCAATATATCCTATAGGTGTGATTTCAATGTTGATAATATCGAATGCTACAGGGAATTTTTTATTTTGAATAAATTATTTATAACATTTTCACTCATGAGCTGTAAAGCATTGATGCTTTCAAACTATAGTTATCAATTGGACCTTACCTTGTAAACAAAACATGTACAATTATAGTACAATTTAAATATTGATAAAGATAAATTTGAATACCCAAATGAAAAACTTTATTCATGAATATTTTTTGTACTGTATTACATTTTAGATAATGAATTCCAATGGTAAACTTCATAATATTATAGACAGTAATGAGGAGAAGTTAAAACGTCCCAGTGGAATAGCTATTTTACCAAATTTTCATGTGGTAGTTGCTGATTTAGGCAATGACTGTGTTAAAAAATACAGATATAAATAAGTAAGTAGCTGCCTTCTAAGAGTGGATAACCTATATTATCTCATATAATCTATAAGTAACTGGATTTGTCATGCAGTTAGGAAACAGGAGACATCTTAAAACTACAACTACAGTTTTTATTTTCTGCCTGCATTTTATCATTCAAAGTATAAGAATGTTTCTGCGGTAGAAATTCAAACCTGTGTCAAAGAATATACCATAGAATATAACTATTTTTCACACAAAACCTATTAATCTAAAATGAAAAAAGCACAAGTTCATTGCTCAAAATGTTTACATGTAATATTTATAAATGTACTAAAACCATTTCTTTTTTATTTTCAGGAATCAAAATATAGCTATAAATGTGATATCACCCTAGATGTAATGCAAAGAAGCTTTGCAAAGTGCTAGATTGCTGAATGTAAGCTCTAGATATTAAGCTATTCAGTTATATCAGATTTTCCTGGCATATTGTCATGATTGTCTGTCATTCAATGAAACATTATTATCTCTACATCATACCATACTTGACACTTGTTAGACATCTCATTTGTATTGCAGTTCTATTGAAGATCATAATAACATAATGTCAACTCTATTAGATCATCACCTCAGCTTTAATAGAGCCTGTGAACAATTTGTTTACTTTTTGTTATGATGGTCACATAACTGTTAGTTCCCATTAAGTCTGAGGTCTTCACATCAATATAATGTCAACTCTGTTAGATCAATATGCCAGCTCTAATAGGGCATGTGAACACACATGATAACTATACTATTTTATTGTAATAACAACAGTAGGATGTAAACTCTGTTGGATCATCATCTCACCTTGATCATCTTAACCTAACAGCTTTTCTAAAACCCCATCTGACAATTATCTTAACTCCATTATTTCACCATTATGCCATTGTTCTATTAGATCATCATCTCAGTCTTATAGCTCTGCTAAACCTCATTATCTGAACTCTAATAGTCAAAGCATCATCATTATCTCCATTTGACATTCATTACCTGAGTTAATGAACATCTCTATTATGTTGATGTCATTGTGATGTCAGCTCTACTAAATCATTGGTTATCTGCCTTTTTGTCTACCTTAGATCATTGCTTCTTGCTTCATCTTTGTGTCTTTCAACCACATGTCCACTTTGTTTATATCATCTTGCCATGATGTTTACTCTATTAGATCCTCATAATTAAGATGAGGTTTACTCTATTAGATCCTAGTTCATAATATTGTGTTTACTCTGTTAGAGCCACATTATTAACATGTTTACTCTATTAGATCCTGATTATTAACATGTCTACTCTATTAGATCCACATTATTGCATGTCAACTCTTTTAGATCATCTTACAATGTTTACCCTATTAGAGCCACATTGTAAACATATTTACTCTATTAGAGCCACATTATTAATATGATGTTAACTCTATTAGATCCTCATTATTTACATGATATCCCCTCTATTTGAAATTTTTGCTCATCTCTCTCTAGATTTCATACTATGTTAATCATCACAACATAATGTTAACCGTATCACATTATTATACTTCCTATGATGTCAACTGTTTCATTATTAAATGTAAACTTTATTATTAGATGATCATCATACTACGTCAATTTATTTATTTGATAATCATCACATGATGATGTCAGCATTATATAACACAATGTCAATTTCTTAAATATTTATCACATTGATGATGTCAATTCTGAGCTTATCCTCACATGATGATGTCAATTCTTTGTTAATTATCATCTAAGGATATCAAATTAATGATTGAAGTCTCTCGCTGTAAAGTTGACATCCACTCATTTGTCTTTAAGGCTTATAATATATGCTGATTTGATCATCCATAATAATTCTATCATTTCACTATAATATTTAAGCTAATATCATTAAATATCAGTTCAAACAATTATTCCTATTTGTGATGTTCTAAACTTTCTCAATAGCTGTGCTAAAGAAGCTTATTTATTTATAAGCTTTTACTAAATTATTATGGTTGGCATTTCAAGTAATGAAAAATGATGTGTTTAAGCATGCAGTTGAAAAATAATTTAGAACTGCAATATTTTTCCTTAAAAATCTGCAAATATTAAATCATTTCTTATAATTACACAAACTTGATTTCAAAGTTTCATGCAACCTTAAAGTTGTTCATCTTAACCTTTTTTCAAGATCTATGTAAATTGATGCTTCAGGTATTAAGATCATATCAAGTTATCATTGTTTCAGTTTTAAAATATACATCCTCCATAAATGTGTGAACATATTAATTAAGCTAAATCTCAGCATTGCAACAAATAATATGATATATTAATCTGAAAATAAAACTCAAACACTTTTGTGTAAGAGAATAACTAGAAGCTTTAGTATTATTTCGTTTTGTGCTGAAAATATCTTGAAAATACATTAACATACATTTGATAAGTTTTGACCAGATTTAGTCCCACTGTGTTGTTGTAATGTCAGATATTGTGTTATTTGACACTGATAATGTGTTCTATCAAGAATATTTCTAAGGGAAACAACTCCATAATTTAATTTTTGTATTTAATTTAAGATTTGCAGTGTTTGGTGATTTTTATTAAAAAATACTTTATCATCAAAGAATAGAACATTGCACTATCTTTTAAAAAAAAATACATAAAAAGTTAAAACAAATTAGACCTAGTAATAATATTATATCAGATTTTGCAGATAAAGAAATAGTGTTGCACAGGTATTTGACATAGTTCTACAAACACCATCTTAAAGTATGATATTATTATCTATGCATATCAGTAGACTAGTATTATAGTTATCATACAGTATTAGAATTGATTTGTTATTTCTTCTTTAGGGTTTATGACACCATAGCTTTTATCCAGGTTGAAATAGGATATTAACTTTTATGTACTTTCACATGTCATGAAACTAGATCCATTTTAGGTAAACTTGGACATATCACTTTTTCTCTGATCTTAATAATTAACTTAGTTTCCATAAATTTGAATTTTCAACCTGTTAATTGAGTAAAACATGTTTCATATAAGATTTTAGAGGCACAAACAGAAAGTTTTTGGAAAATAGTAGGATAACATTAAAGCTTAGGAATTTTAAGATTGGTATTGTAATATATTTTATATGATTTACATCTAGAGCTATTGTTTTTTTCTGTACTCTGATTAAACATCTTGTATTTTGTATCAGGTACCCAAGACTCTATGGCAGTCAAATAAAATATAGTTATACTCAGCCTATACATGTAATGTATTTCTTAAGATTTCCAACTTGATACTTCAATGTTAAACTGTGTCTGTTGAACATTCTATATTAGTCCTCAAGGTTTTTTTTATTTATATTATTTGATTATATATATAAGTTTGTGTACTAAGTACATATTAAACAGAGTATTGCATTTATACATTGAAAAATATCACACTATGATAGCTATTGAAAAATTATATATTAACAATGCATGTTATTTAAGTCAATCTGCAATATTTATTTACATCTGCTGCTGTTTTCTAGAAATATAGTTGATCAAACACATCTTTGACTCAGAACTATTCATTATAATAATTTCCCCCTTAAGTACTGCACATTTTATTAAATAGAGTGAGAGAGAAAAATACTGAAATGAAACATCTATGGTGTATTTTAATTCCAATGAGAAAATATGGTTGGTTCAGCAAATGTGTTAAATTGGATTAAGTGAAATAGTTCTGAAGTTGCAATGATTTGCTGATATTTACAGTTATCCATCAAGTCAAACTATGTATTAAAAGAATAATCAGGTATATTGAGATCTCTGTATTAATTTTCTCATTCAATTTATTGTTCCAATCCTTAGCAAGACTTTAGCCAGAACATTATGACCTACTGCATCTATTTGACACAATATTGCCATATTATTTTAAACCAGTGGTAGGATATTATATCCTAAATTGTAGGGCTGGTAAGTTTTACAAACCAGCAAACTAGGCAGAAAAAGTGGATAAGTCAGTGTTGTTGATTTAAGAAAGTCATTTAAAGACACAAACTTATCTATAACCTAGTTCGAAAATATAAATGTTAATGGAATTTCTGATGTTTTTCCAAAATTAATTGTATTAGGTCCTGGAGAGTTTTGAAATTTATAATGAGAACACTCCTTTCTCATTCTAGGTTACATTGCATTTGCAAGAAACATTGGGGAATCCAAAGATGCTAAAATAAGGGGTAATTTAATTTATGCAAATAATTAGATCATGTTATTGTAGTGGTATTTCAATATTCCAATAACCAAGTATCTATAATATTGCGTTATCCACATTTTTGCATATTAGCTTGCCTGTTTGCCTTGGTTTGTAAAACTACCCCTTTTGCTTGATATATTATATAATATAAAGAGAATAATTATTTCTTATGTAGCAAATTAGTTGATATTATTTATTTGTTTTAAATACCTATATATGTTATTTTATTATTATTTTTTTTCTATTTTATTTACTATTTATCATAAAAAGATACTTTATGTTTTGTTTTATAAGAGAACTGAGAAAGACTTCAGTCTTGTGTATGTAAAATTAAATATTTATTATAAATGTTAAACATCAAATCCTCAAAATGGGTTTATTGTCACCAGGTTTTCATTTTGACCTGACCTAGAAATTTGAACAAGGACTAGCCTAGCATGCTGTTTAAAAAATCCACATGTTCCAAAGTGCTACTAATGAAAAAGATTGCCCAAAGTTCTGTTTTGAGATACTGAATCCTCAGTAAGCTTGCTATAGTTTCAGATATTTAAATTGCTAAAAATGCTGTTATTAACTCTTCTTTAGTCATTTAATTGGCCCTGAAATAATTTTATTGTTTTATCCATAGATCTATGGCTCTCGGTGCTGCTTACAGACCAAAATCAATCCAATTAGGTCACACTTTGTACTGGCATGGTAAAATCATTTCATTTAAGAATAAACCACCGCCATAAAAGTAATGTTTTGCCTGGCCTTCCATGTCAAGTCCCATTTTGTATTACATTATTATATTGTTGAGAAAAAATATCAATCCCAATTCTGCATTTATCATACTTGTAAAAAGAAGAAATTACTCTGTACTAATGACCTTTATAATTCCAAAATTTTTGAAAATCTGTAACTTTAGAAATTTAACATCGTAAATGAGACTTGATCTTTCCTTTAACAATCCAAATCAGATTATGCAATATAATTGGCGTGCAATCTTGATATTTTGTTATTAAATTTCTTTGATATAGTTAATGGAAAACAATTTAGGAAAAGACAAGAGCTTTCGTTATATTTACTCATTTCGTACATTAAAAGAATAATTATTATGTTAACCAGCCACCAGAGCCGAACTTTATCTGCTTGAAATATATTGAAATTACGTTCTAGAAAGTGATACGCTTGGCTCATTATGTGCCAAGAAAGTGTTAGACGCTTTTGAACTGAAAGTACTAAGGAAAATGCATTTGTTGTTGTTAAGTAAGCTTATATAGAGAAAAGGCTATGTTTCACACTTAAAAAATATTAACTTGTATCTTGAAAACAACTTGAGATTTACAATTGAAACTGGAGATGGTTGGTCTGCCTTCTAACCATTCGTAAATAAGCGTGATAAGTTTCAAATCGAGAATTGAATTTGTTTTTGAATATTTATTTTACTGCTATGTATTTATGATATTTGATGCACTAAAATTGATTTGCACGAAATAGTGTCGTTCATTCATAGACCAGTAATTGCTTTCATGCTTAGACGAAGCCATAACTATGTGAAATGGTCTTAGTCAAACCATTAACAAGTGAAATGGTCTCAGTCAAGCCATACCAACCTCCATGAGCCGGTGAAATGGTTTCCGTAAGACCTTTGACAAGTCAAATTAATCTGAATCAAACTATTACAAACTATTTAAACCATGTCAAATGGTCTCAGTCATACCATTACCAAGTGAAATGGTCATGTAACCAATTGAAACGGCCTCAGTCACATTGTCAAATGAACTAGTCGCGCCATAACCAAGTGAAATGGTCTCAGTCACATCTTCACCAAGAGAATGGTTTCAGTCACATCATTACCAATTGAAATGACCTCGATCACACCATTACCAAATGAAATTGTCTCAGTCAAACCATTAACAAGTGAAATGGTCTCAGTCACACTTTCACCACTTGAGAGAAATGGTTTCAGTCACACCATTACAAATTGAAACGACATCGATCACACCATTACAACGTGAAATGAGCTCGATCACACCATAACAACGTGAAATGGTCCAAGTCACACCATTATTGGACGAAATTGTCTTGGTCACACCATTACCAAATGAAAGGGTCTCAGTCACACCACAATAAAATAAACAGGTCGCAGGCACACCATTAGTTCAATGACCCAATTACCACAAAAAGTCGTCTCGATGACCTCATAACTTTGTGAAATGTTTTAAATCATTCCATAATCGAGTGACCTAATCTCTTAGTAACCGGGTGATTTAGACCATTCCACTTGTAAACCAGTCGATTGAAACCTTTTCACTTAGTTACCGGGTAATTGAGATCATTTCACCTAGTTATCGGGTAATTTAGATCATATTACTTAATTATCGGGTAATTGAGACCATATTACTTAGTTACCGGATAATTGAGACCATATTACTTAGTTACCAGGTAATTGAGACCATTCCACTTGTTAACTGGTCGATTGAAACCTATTCACTTAGGTATCGGGTAATTCAGACCATGTTACTTAGTTACCGGGTAATTGAGACCATATTACTTAGTTACCGGGTAATTGAGACCATGTCACTTAGTTACCGGGTAATTGAGACCATTCCACTTGTTAACTGGTCGAGTGAAACTTATTCACTTAGTTACCGGGGGATTGAGACCATATTACTTAGTTACCGGGTAATTGAGACCATATGACTCAATTATCGGTTAATTGAGACTATATTCTTAGTTACCTGGTCATTAAGACTATTTCAGTAATAACTGAGTGATAAGACCTTTTCAGTAGTATAATAAAATCCACATTCATCGAAATAACGCAACTAATCGAATTATTGAATCAGAATGCAGGGTCCTTATTCTCGAAAACTTAACTTAAGCTGATTTTAGTGTTTCGGTCATCTGATTGATCATAAATAAAATTGAATTTATAGTTACTTTTATTTTTCAATCAGATAACTGTATTTCTTAAAATCTGAATTTTATCTGACTGAAGTTTTCGAGAATAAGGCTCCAGTACTACCAGAACCACAAGATTTGATACCTAACAGTTAATTTAATTACTTTTAAAGTGGAATCTTTTCATTAATTCCGACTGCTACATTCCTTATCTGATTCGAATAGCTGTGAAAGGTTTTGTGTAAAAACTAAATGATATAAAAAAAAGAAATTGAGTCAATGTTTACTCTATAGATGGGTTTATATATACTGTATGGATGTAAACTCCTTAATCAGTCCTATACACAAACAGGCAGGGTAGAGTTTAGAGTGATATGGTCAGTGAGTTTGATTGTTTAATAATAACATGATAATTAGTTCACTGTCATCATTTGAATTGAAAAGTTAACATTCCATACTGGGAGGAAATGGAACTTGATACTTTTACTGACATGAAAAGAAATACCCCAATTTAAGAATTTGGTCAAGTTTAACATTTTAAGAAGGGAAGAGATTTTGAAACTGTAGCCAGAATTAGAAATTCGGCTCCGTAGAAGGAACACTATTATATTAAAAATTATGATCATGCCATCCGAATTCATTTTTTGCAAAACTCCTTGGTTATTATAAAGATTTATATTTCTGTCATTCAAACTGAAATTAGTTATTAAATTGATTCATATTCAAATTGAATATGGTTTGCTCTCCAATATAATTCTTGAAATGATTCATTGTTCATTGCTTAGTTATTTGTTACTCAATCTGAATATATTAAGTTTTAACAATGCTATGACCTGTGTCTGTAAAAATAATTAGGACTGTAATAGCCTTTTCTCATACTACTAAACCAATAAAGACTTTTTATCAGATTGTCCAAAACTTATGCTGATGCGATTAGAAATTTCAGTAGACGTGTACTTAAATATTGGATGAAGTCAACTGCAGCTTCAGTATTAAATCAGAATGCAGACAATTTTACTTGAATTCATCACTATTGATATTATTTTGACCACCACTGTTTGGCTCATTGTGCTAAGTTGTTAAACTCCTGCTAGAACTATTAGATTTCGTTTTAGTCAGCATTTTAAATACGTTCTTAGATGTTTTTTTCTTTCCCCTCTTCAATTCCGCGTCTGTTGGCTCTTCAAATTTTTCAACTGGTGTATAATTCACCTAAAAATACAATAAAATACAATAAGATAAAACTGTATCTGGAAATTTCGTTTGTTGACAACAGATAGAACCTTATCAATAAATAAGATTAATCGTAATAATTAAAAGACTTACCTTGCTTTCTGTCTTTTTCCTTTTCGATTTTCTTTTTTTTTCCCTCCCTGTTGTTTTAGTTCCTAGAGGTTCTGGTGTTTTCCAGGATTTGTTTCTATCAACAGAAAACTTGGAATCTGGTTTCAGTTGGTGATTTATTGAAGATTGATTATTTGGTGAGATACTACTACAGCTAGCCCCTTTATTACCAAAATAAATCTCTAACGCTGGACAATGACCACTTGGCAATTCCTTTTCTGCACATTTTGAGTGGCGAATTACTACAGCCCCGGAACTTTCTTCTTTTAAAACCTTCCCTGCATTTAAATCAAACCCTATAACTGAACTGGATGATCCTTTGTTATAGGATCGAACTTGAATCGATCTTGGTGTTACACTGGTCACCGAAGATTTGGTTTCTGTCTTAAGATTTAATCTTGAAGCAGAAAGATCTGAGGGAATCTTTAAAATACTTTTACGTGGATGTGGTTCATTCTGCTTTAATTGAAGATGCCCTACTTTGTCATCATCAGAATCATAATCCGTCACCTATAATAAATAATAAAAAATATATGCCTGTTTTTTAATAGATATATGTAAATTGGTTGAAATGAACAAGTTTTACATTTACCTGCTTAGTATGATTTTACAATATTTTACATGCAATTTTATTTTAATATTCTGATATGAAAAAGGATTGCTGAAATAGTTATATTGGTCGGGATACAGTCGAGAAAGCAACCTCATAAGGTTATACAGCTAAGATTACCTCTAAACAATCTGTTTCAGTCTGTTCAGAAACCATAGAGTGTTTTAGGACAGATTGAACATCAGTAACAATGGGCTGTTTGACAGTAGATCCACCTTTTAGGATTTTCGCCTTATCCTCACTTGGAGAAGCACGTTTCGATGAAGAAACCAGTGTCAGGTTCTCATCCAATGATTCATCCCTTCCCGCAATTTTCCATCCAGTATAATCATCGTTGATCCACATATCTGATGCTGGTTTCACATGAATAACACGGACATTGATCTTTTTTGTTGATTCAGAACGGGTTTTTCGTAACGAATCCATCTCAAATGATTATCGGTTATAATCCTATATATCCAGCACTGCTAAGGCTATCTATAACGCATAAGTGAAAACCTTCTTTGGATCTTTACAGCTAAAACTACTCCATCCATGTTGTGATTGACTATTATCATAAACTTCCATAAATTGATATGTCTAAATTAACTTATGACGTCATAATAAAGCTACTTTTGAGTTTGTAAAAGGTGTTGTGAAGGAACCTGCTTGCACCCAAGAAAGTTCAAAGTAATTTGATCACAGCACTACATGGTCCGGCAAATTAATTTAGTGACGATGAATTTGGCACAATTGGACCGATCCCAACCGACAGCGTATGTACTTAGTGTATCTCCATGTAATATGTATGGACTGTTTTATATAGATTATCAGTATATCACATCCGAGGAACAGATGGAGCCTGATATTAGGCTGTCATGTTCCTGCATCTTTTTCAGGTTTGTGAAATAGAGGTACAAGAAATATTGTGCCTTGGTTGGAATGAGCTGTACCAGAATTGATGACCAATCGTATGAAGGATTGGGGCATTTTAGATCAAGAGAATCCCACAATCGAGACTTAATGTGCAGTAATATTTCTACATAGTTCTGGCATACGGTTTACGTAGTTGTTGCATTGCTTTTCATCAAGACCTGTGTCTCAACTCTTAATTGTCGTCTGATAACATGTGTATACATATGAATCAGGCATGATACTGCTATCAGATGCAATAGCAATATTAGAAGCATTAGATAGACAACATCACAATATATGTATACGGTGGTTCATTTACGACCGTGGAAATGACCTTCTGCCACAATTTTGTTTAGGTATTTTACTTCCAACTTTTCATATCTGCTTCTGGTAACAAAGAAGGGTAAGGTAATGCACTTGGCAATCAGTAAAGTTTTACCAGTACGGCGATATTGATTTAGTTTACTCATTTGTACCGTAAACTATAACTGTGAACTTCTTAATGAAAACAAATTAAACAGTTTACCGTTAATATCAGCTTCGGCTATAAAGTCGATTAATTCTCGGCCTTCTAATCCTAAAAATTAAATTGTTAAAACATCAACTGCTGTAGCAGCGGCAAAAGCAGCACCAGCTTCAGCATCACCGTCTAACAATTGACTACTGGAGAAATAATAACTGTTCTAATAGCTCTATCAGCATCTCTGATTAATCTCCAGAACTGGACATCTTGGCCCATCATCATTACCATAGCAACAGCAAGGATTACAGCGAGTTTCATCCTGGCGATATAAAATAGCCTTCATTAGTAAACTTTTAGAACAGTTATGTTGTCGCAAATCAACGAACACTTCACTGATGATAATCCTTTAGCGACATTTAGGGGTAGAGATCACATTAAATAACGGACACAATTTTATGGTATACTACTTCTTAGATTTATTACACACTACGTTTCAGCAATCTACATTGTCATCTTCAGGTGAATGAAACTAAGGAGTAGTATACCATAAAATTGTGTCCGTTATTCACTGATGATGATATTGTTGTTTAAGGTTTATCACATTTAAATTCAACCATCGAGATTTGCCAATTATTGTCATGTACTCGAAGGATTATATTCGAAGAAATGGGCGTGTTTTACCACTTAAGACCACATTCTACAGGCCAATGCCGATTTCAACTAGGTTACTCTTATACTTTTTCCAATATCTGTTCCCATTGCAACAATGAGATAAAATAGAATAAAAAAAGTTTAAAAATAGAGCATACTAACATGTCAGTATATAATATCAAAGACTACAAACTGAAGTGATGGATTGTTTGGATAGATATAAGAAGAATGTATACTGGAATCATTAATTTTTATTTTTTATGGGCTACCTTTCAAAATTTCTTTTTACTTTTACTAAATACTAACAGCACAATAGTTGACTTTTATTGAATAGTAACTTTCAATCACCCTTATCTCTACAATTTATACTTTATTCTTATTACAATTAATTTATGTAAAGCAAATTAAATTTTTCGTGAAAACTGATAAAATATGTATCCGGTTGGTAACAACAATATAACTATTGTATCCGGTTGATGCTATGACCCTTATGAGACGTAGATAATTTTCTCATTTCGGCAACATTCTTGCTTTGCCTCAGATAATATTCTGTGACAAAGCATTACTTCTTCAGGTACTATGCTTAACATCCAGATGACCGAGACATTAGTTTTTGAAAATTGGACTGCCCTCAGTGGCGGCGCAAGGATACCGAAAATGTCCTGGATTTCGGTTGAAGAAGATATTCCAATTCATAGAAAATTATAGGTTAAATATGCCCTTTCTCGTGGCGAAGTCTCTAAACAAAAGACAAATGTAATTTTTAAACGTGGATATTTATTGCCTCAAGGATAATTTAACAGGATACGATAAAAAAACAATCAAAATCCGAACACGATTTGTCAAGTACGCTTATCAATTATAACAATAAAATAAACTGCGAATGTATTAATATTGACTGTTAGAATAATTAATGTTAACACGCTTAGAGTATTTATTGTAGAGAGAGAACTATGCTGTTATTTTACAACAGTTCGAGCTCTTTGATATGTATGTATGCTCTATTTTTATTTCATATTCATGTTTTGTGAAAAAATATCGAGATGTTCTTTAAAAATGTTAATCCTGTTTAGCCGATTTGAAACGACTGGCGCTAATTATAATCTCTGACCACAGGGAGGTTAGAAATGATCTTTTTCAGTTATTTGACACATATTAAAAGTAAAATTCAAAATTGCATGTCATTAACCTTCTTATCTCTCAAAGAAATAACTGTTGAAAATGAACCCGTTGTAAATTTTTTACAGTCTAAGGCGCAGTTCTATTTTTTTAACACATTGGTTGGCGTAACTTAAGAGTAGGTGAAATCTGTATTAGATTGTTTTTACTGTGGGTATTTTGTGACCTATTGGAACACATCCTATCCATATATGTCGAGAAGTCTCATTTAATCTTACAGAACAGACATCATTAAGGCATGCTTGTCTATTTTCATTATTTTTTCAGATGATCAGAATGAAGGTCGCTGTAATCCTTGCTGTTGCTATAGTAATGATGATTGGACAAGATGTCCAGTCCTGGAGATTAATCAGAGATGCAACTAGAGCTATCTCTAGAGCTTTTACCCCGGTGGTCAGAACCTTAACCAATCCTAAACGATACCCTAGAGCAGTTGTCAGACGATGGAGTAGAATTCTTTCAGGTAAACGAAGCGATGAGGCTGAAGTCGACGCTGCATTTGCCGCTGCTACAGCAGATGATATGTTAACAGCTGATGAAATCAGTGAATTATTGGGATTAGAAGGCCAAGAATTAATCGACTTTATTGCTGAAGCTGATATTAACGGTAAACTTTTTGTTCTTATCGCTACAAAAGTTTTACTCTTTTTTGAATTGATACATTAGTTGATCTTGATATTTTATTGTAATTTGCATATTTCAATAGCCAAAGCCTTCTACCAATAGAAATGTAAATGTGAAAATCACATAAAAGAAATAATATTATGTCTTAATGCCTGGTCTTTTATATTATCTTGTTGATTATAATTTCTATCGGAACTGGAAGATACTATTAGATTTTGATCATAATTTTATAAGACTTGTTGTGTATGCATCAATATTAATATTAATGTTCCATACGGGTATCTCCCACAGGTAATGGTCAAATTGATCTTGGAGAATTTATTGCTCAAAAAGCCCAAGGTAATATTTATTCTTTTTCGTTAACGATTACTTTCAGCATTGTTCTAAAAATATTTGTCTGTTTGATTCAAGATACTAGATCTGAATTTCAAATTTGTTAAATTGTGACTTTTATGATTTGTATCAAGGTGATACCCGATTTATACCAAGTTTAATATATAATAGCATCGTATTAAAAACTAAAAACAATTCGACTTACAGTTTGTTTAGAACACTGATATCTTGTTGTATATAGATATTTCGTTATCCGATTAATTCCATAAATATATATCACTATTACTTTATTTTATCGACAGATGATTAAATGGTCAAGAAGTTGGAGCGTGAAAGGTGATGACTTGGAACCAGTGGCGGCTCCAAAAGGGAAAACTTTAAAAAAATCTTAAAAAAAGCCTTATGTATATGAAGGTGTGTCTGAAAGTGTCAATGGTCAATGTGATCAAATATATAATGAATAAATTCATACTTGAAAAAAAAGTTAATTTGTTATGTTTTATGTTGTGAAAATATTTTAGACTATATCATCGGTGATCGGGAGATTGGTGTCGGCGTGTATGTGCATATCTCAGGGTTCATTTATTAATAGTTTACAATCCAACTTTCCTATGTCCGTTATGCAGCTAAAGATGCTAACAGTAGTATAATCATATCGACAGGTTACATCTTGGCCTATAGCAGTTTGTAACGAAAAACGTATGGTACACAGTCTGTGAAAAGAGACTATAGCTAGCTCCCTTAGATAGGGTAAATTAATTCGTCCAGTGGTGGGGTGGCAGCCGCCATTGAATTCGTCATCTAATTCCTGAGAAATATTGCATATTGACCAATCACTAAAAATGATTGTATAAGGGGCATGTTCACCATCGGTTCCAACAAACGAACCTCGAAAGAATCATAGAAACGAGAAGCGAGAGCCTTCTTATCCATGTGTACCCATGATTATCCACCTTTAAAAGTTACAGATGACTTTTCTTTTTCATGTAGAAGAGCATCATATCTGGATTTTATGATAATTACTTCTTGATCTAGGTTAGATGTATGCGCACATCATGACATCTTTGCAATCAATCAGAATCTCAGAACGCAAGAACACCTATCCCTAGCACCTACCCAAACATCCGCAGTTTCTGAACACATCAAAAACAACCGACGACACAAAATTGGCAATATCGAAGCCCTTACTAAACACCAAACCAACAAGAAAACGAGACAATTGACCGAAGCCATTCACATAAGGAGATACCAACCGCAACTCAACAGAGATACAGGTGTTTATTTATCACATGCCTATGACCCTTTAATTAAATAAAATAACCCCACCCCAAATTTTGTATTTAGATTGTCACCGGCATCTTACTAGTTTTCTATGTTTTATTTATCATCACATGTACGATTAAAATCACCACCACCCCACCATTATAATCAAGAAATAATTTACTACATCCCCTTTAATGGTTTCTCTAATCACACACCCTTGTGATTACCCCTACATAATTGATTAATGTATTCCTATTGTTTTAATCCTTGTTATTGTTGCCCCACACTATATATCCTGAATGCCTTGTTATTTTGTATCATTGCTTGATAAAGACGAAAGAATCATCGTCGAAACGTCGCAAGTTATTTATTAAAGTAATTGTTATCCATATAATTGTGTTCGTGTTAATATCATCAATTACTAAATGCCACTCAAGGAAGGAAGGAAGCAATCAGAGGTAGACACAACAAACTGGCTTTGACATTCTTTTCATCGCGTAGCTAAGCGATGCGTAGCAAATCAAAGCTTCGCTTAGCTTCGTCAACTGAAGTAAACAAAAATGTAATACAAGCTTTGTATCAATAATTCTATATCGCTCTACAGTTGCTGCGACTATTTTAATAGTGGAAATATTTTATTATTGCAATACAAATTTTAAAAATATAAGTAAATCTTTGCTGATTATCATACATAATGTTTTGTAAAGAGTCCAGTTCTCCTCAACCTTTATGACCTACTTGTCCACTGAAAAACAGGCGCAACCATCACATTGATCAATAATTTGCTGTCAAATATTGAACGATAATGATATTACAATGAAATGGAGTAAAACGGTAACATTTGTTTTTACTTTAAAGGGGCGCGATCTGATGCCCATTTCTGGAATGGGGTCGTTATTTGAAAAAGATTAGGAACCTCGGCTCTAATTCATAGCTATTTTGACTAATTTTTATACGCCCACATCTCTCTATGTGGACGTATATTGTCGGCACCCCTGTCCGTCCGTCCGTCCGTCAACATTTGCTTGTGAACGCTTTAAAAACTAGATTTTTTGATGGAATCAAATGAAATTCTGTATGTGCATACATATTCATAAAACGAAGATCAAGTTCGAATTTGAGCTATTTTCGACCATTAGAAGCAGAGTTATTGCCCTTGCCCCAAAATCTAGAATGTGCTATTACTCTCTTAGTTTTCAACCGATTTTGATGAAACTTAAAATGGATGTTATTGGACCTACATCGAAAGGTTTGAGGAAGTTTAGTTTACTTCTGATTAATTTTAAGGTTTTTTCAAGATTTTGACCTCTTATGTCAGTTTTGAGGAGTTATCGCCCTTTAACCTCTATACAGTAAGTGCTTCTATCAACATCAATTGCTCGTAAACACTCTAAAAACTAGAGTGTTTGAAAGAATCAAATGAAATTCGGTATGTGCATGCATATTTATGAAACGATGGTCAAGTTCGAATTTTTATACGCCCACATCTCTCTATGTCATATCGCACCCCTTTCCGTCCATCGGTCCGTCCGTCAACATTTGCTTGTAAACGCTCTAAATTCTAGATTTTTTGATGGAATAAAATGAAATTCGGTATGTATATACATAATCATAAAACAAAGATCAAGTTCGAATTTGAGCTATTATCGACCGTTAGAAGCAGAGTTATTGACATGCCCCAAAATCTTGAATATTTACCATCCGCATGCCGTGGTGGGCGTATATGGCTGTGGTCCACTATCTTTTATCTGGATTTGGAATTTCATTGAATTTTTCTTTTAGATTTTCTGAGATGATAAGCGATTTACTGCCGAAAGGGTTATTCTAGAAGTAGTCGCTATGTGAACAGTCCGTGGCAACTGGATATTGATTAAATGTAGTGGTCTACTTTCAATTTGGCTAGCTCACAATTTTCATGGTCATGATATATTGAATATTTGTCGGTTGGTCAGGCTTTCATGCAACAAATTGGACAGTTTTCAACGAGGCTTCTGGAAAAAGTTATAGAAGGTTGAATTTCTTGACGTTACGTTTAGAATATTCTCACCGTGTCCCATATAATTGGATAATAAAATAGAGTTACGCCCCTTTCTAATTAATCCATTTTCTGTAGTTACACCCTTGTACAACCAAAACTGGTTGGCGTATGTCCATATCAGTGCTTCTGAACACAGTCCACGTGCAGGCCCAAGGGTGAATTATAAACGATCGGTGGTTAAAAATTGGACATAGGCGAAATATGCACAAAACAGTTCCCAAATGAACACACTGGTCTTCAGAATAACCCATCAGCTTACAAATTCGTAATGCATTCTTTGGGATCGTAACTAAATCGCAATCCTAATTCGCAAGCATTCGTAGTTATTCTTAACGCATCCCAGAGCCAAAAATACAGCTGTTCTACGTTGGCGATCCATTTTGAAGCTGATGTCCAAGCATGGGAGGGTCTTTATATAGTTATTTTGGGTGAAAACCTCAATAATTGTCAAGAACCGTCAAGAATTCATTTTTATTCGTACCTAATTCGTATAGGCCTTCGGCATATTCTTGGCTGATTCGTAACCGATTCCTAACTTTCGTGCAGTATTCATATTAGCTTTTTAAAAATTGTTGTGAATTCTTGACAATATTCAAGCGAATATTCGTTACTCTTTAGTAGTTGTATTGTAACTAGAACGTAGAGCTTCGCGAATCGAACCAGAATACGTGCTAAAATTTCACGAAACCTTTGAAATCTAAAATTTACAAATCTTGGTGAAACGTGTTTTGTGTGGAATGAATAGTATTGCATTAGATTGTCGCCGAATTGAGAAATGTTGACAGTGACAGTATCAACCGTATATAATTACAAGTCGTGTAAAAAACCAATATCCTATATCAGCCCACTGAACACTCCCCACCACAGTGACGATGGTGGAACATATTTTAGCAGCTTTAATGACTATTTATTTCACACTGTAATAATTGAATTTTACAAGATTCATACCAACGTTTTCAAATCAATTTATTCATATAATATTTGATCGTCAACATATTTTTCCGTTAAACAGGATCAAATGATCCAATTAGTTTTTAGTTAGTTGTTCGGATCTTTACCTTCGGTTCCAGGGCATCAAAACCCCTGCTTCAAACATGTATGACATTTTTACATATCGAACATCCAACCATTTGCCGGCGATTAAGAAGACAATTTTTCGAAATAAGAGAGATGAGGCGTCAAGAATATTTAGCAAAAAATCGTTACAGATTATAGCGGCCATTAAATTTTGTTTTTATTGATACATGGTCACCATTAAACTTAGAGATCTCACAATCTTCACAAGGCATACCCACTTTCATTCTAATCTGATTAAAACTAACTTCTAATTTTTCTACTACTTTGCGCCGTGTCTAACGAACAAAATAATTCTAAATTTAATTTAAATGAAACAGACAAAAGGCTAGAAAAATGGCATTTACACGGCAAGGTTATAACTATCAAAATAATTATTGTGGTATTGACCACAAAATGTATAATTGTTAATTTTGATTATATATATATAACACTGTTTAATAAGCTGCTAATCAAAAGTAGCTTAAATAAAAGTTCGTATATTGTACAAATGTTCTTTTTAAAATGCAAATTTCCATTCAGTTATAGTATATCGCATATAATAATCATTGTGCAACATGGTTCGCCTTTATTAACATTGGCGTATAGTCTACCTAAGACCAGGATTAGCCAGTTTTTAAATGATTGTATTTTGGATTAAATTGTTTCAGTCACATGCGATGGCACCTTTGGACTCGTTTTCAATCTTTAGTGTGAGAGAATTTCCAGTCCAATAAAAATATAAATGGTTGGAATATCCATTTCTTTTTACAAGGGCTATTGGTCGAGTGCCTTTTTATTGATAAATAGGTGTCCAGTAACAATACGCCGAGCTTTCAAATAGAATGATTGGGAATCTGACATCATCTGACATCATCTGACATCACCTGACGATACATTTTACGATTTGGCTTATCTGTCAAGTACACACTACTTAGAATTCATAGCAGAATGGAGCAATAATCACGAATACCCCTTTTTTAGCTAGCACCCATATAAGAATCATTGCTTTCACATATAACAGCAGTACATATAAAACAAGAGGTTACTTACGGTTATAGGCGTTCACAGCACTTTTCAGGGGGAGTGGGCAGGCCAATAGCCAGACTTAATTGCAGTATATCCGGAGGGGCAATTGGGGAAAATTGTAATCACAATTTTAATATCACTATTTAACACACGGGGCTGCGGTTTATTAAGTGTCGAATTTGGACCCTATTTTGGGGCCAAAGCCAAGAGCCAAAAACTCACAGTTGAGTAAAAACTATCAAAGCGTAAAAGAATCAGTGTTGATCTTCAAGCTGATTTGCGACTTCACTAACCTTAATCGCAAAAACTTTCTTATTTCTATAAGCATTTCCATAGTCCTTAATACGGTGGTTCGTATACGACATCATTTTTTTTTTTTAAATTTGAATTAAAAAACTGGAATATAATTATAAAACATAATTTTGAATTTAAAACTTGTATTTTCACCCAGCTGAAATATAATATTCACCCGGGTGAAAATTTCTAGAATTTTGAATTAGAAAATTGAAAAATACATGTTTTTAATTCAAAATCATTTTTTATAATTATATTCCAGTTGTTTAATTCAAAATTGAAAAAGCTGCCAAACCATGCAAAGCAGGAATATCTCTCGATGATTTCTTTTTGTGACAACCCTTTTTCTATTACAAACATTAGAAATTGGGATGGATGTTCTGAAGGCTCTACATTTCCCACAGCAACCAATATAAATAACTCGAATAAAGCAGACATAATTTAATAATTATATATTTATCATGTCATAGAAATGTCGACACTGTTTTTAAAATTAATCGTAAATCGTTCAGATCTCAATGACAATCAATGTCTTCATCCTTTTACACCCCATCTTCTTGACAATTTAATCATCTGCTAATAATAATTAATAATTAATATTGAGGAGTACAAAAAGTTAATTCCAGAAAGTTAACGGATTAAGCTTCAATGTTTATGATAATAAATTTCAGGTTCTTGTAATTCGAATGATAAACCAATATTTTTCTAGAGCATTGCTTGGTTTAATCGAGAACGATATAAAAGGAAGACTTACCCTTGGCTATAAATTCTTCAAGATCAATTTGACCATCACCTGTAAAACATACCCGTGTATAACAATTGTATAAATATGATTCAGATATATCTCTATAAGTTTCAGATACAATATGAATATATTACAGTTATAATGAACTTTATTATAACTTAACAACACAGTAGGTCCGGTAGTAGAAACATCCTGCTTATCTGCAGGTGATTGCAGTGGCGGCGCAAGCCTCTCGGCACAAATAATGGGCAAACTGGCTCAATGGAGGGGCGACTATCAAGTCTGAACTCAAAGTATGGAGGCATCATTGTCGTAAGCCTCATTGACTGTCTCAGAGTGTTCTCCCACATTGAATTGATTTGGTGCATTCTGACACATGTTTTGGGAAAAAACCCTATAAAAACCAGGCTAACTATGAACTTCTCAACGAAAAGAACAAAAAGTTTACCGTTAATATCAGCTTCGGCAATAAAGGCGATTAATTCTTGGCCTTCTAATCCTAATAATTCACTGATTTCATCAGCAGTTAAAACATTATCTGCTGTAGCAGCTTCAAAAGCAGCATTGAATTCAGCTTCACCGCTTCGTTTACCAAGAATAATTCTACCAACTTCACTACCCCATCTTGTAGGAGTGACAACGGTTCTGACCACTCGAACAACTCTACGAACGCGGACTCTCCAGGACTGAACATCTTGTCCCATCATCATTACCATAGCAACAGCAAGGATTACGGCGAGTTTCATTCTGGAGATTTAAAAGATAATCTTCATCAATAAACTCACATTGATATAGCCTCCCATTGACTAAAAGATGATTAATAAGCATTTTGGTGCTCAAGTCATATGTTTATCCCTAAGCTGAATTTGAAATTTAGCTATGTCATGGAGCTATTCAAACAATTCCTTCAAGTCTCTCTTAGGTCTACAGAAGAGTTCAGATATATTAAACAAGCGACGTTTTCAGTGGCGTTTCTACGTGGGTGGCCAACAATGCTGGCCCGCTAGCTTTGGGGGCCTCTGGCAGCCCCCAGTCCCCAGGCGTCAAGAGGCTTCGGCCATTCTCTAGATACGCCCCTGAATATAGGAATCATAAAAGTTTAAAAATAGCGCACTTACATGTCAGTATATATCAAAGACTACAAACTGAAGTGAAGTGATGAGAATTTCTCTACAATTTATACTTTATTCTTGTTAAATTCAATTAATGTAAAGTAAATTAAATTTGTCGTAAATACTGTTAAACATGTCCATGTTTCACCTTGGTTATTGTTTTGCTTGCTGACCGGACTTGACAACTTACACTTAGCATCTGTGTTTGGTTGTGACTGGTGGGCTGACACCATGATTACCATCCAAACAGTTTCTGTTGTATAACCTTGCTGAATTGATTCCTTTCTTACATTTATCATATAATTTATGATTTTTACCTGACTTAGACCTTTGATAATTATGGAATAAGATGTACCTTACAACAACTTGACATTACTTACTTGTGTACAAGTTAGACAAATGTCCACCAGGCGGGTATTTTTACTCAAACTACGTTGCTATCTTTATAAAATTTGTTGAGCATTTAGTTGAGCCAATGAAAATTCATTTGATTGGCTGAAATTTTCAATGACAATGAGTCTTAAATAAAATGGCGACTATCTTCAAAATAGCTCCACGCTTGAATATTTTAACTTACATTAGATACAACAATTAGTGGTTTATTCTGTCATGGTATGGAGCTGACCTCATAACATAACAAGAAAATTGTCAGTTTTGGAAAAAAAATCTCAAGGAAGAGGAATATTTCAACGCAACCAAATTGGTTGCTCTATTTCAAGATATATTCATAGTTGGTTTTCTGACTCTCGTCGACGGCATTGAGAGGCAGGATGTTTCGGTTTACTCCGATTAATACCATTTCGAACCAAGGTCTCATCAATATATGGCCTACATGCGTATACCAAGTTTTATCAAGATCAAATAAAAACTGTAGTCCATAGGCCTGTCGTGCCTGCAAAGACAAAATTGACCCATTTGAACTATGTAAAGGGCGATAACTCGATTGTGCCCAATTTTAAACTTGGCCGAGATCTCATCAATACATACATACTAGGCCATGTTTCAAGCAAGTGGGCCTAGGCTACTATAACAAATTTGAAAAGTTCAAGGGACGTAACTGAATAAAAATATTTTTTTATTTTTTATCTAATTTCCATAGTTCGAGGGAAGAAACTGATCAAAGCATACTTGACAATGAATATGTCTGTTGATAATAACCTTCCAACGCTTGAGTGGCTTACGGATCTGCAAGCACAAGGTTGACGAAGGATCAACTTCAATTTGGAACAAAATATATTTTAACCATTTTCAAACCAGCTCTCGCATCTCTAATGATTTTCCAGTGACAGCCTCCAAATCTGTTCTGAAATGACGACACACAGAAATATTACAGTTCTATGAACTGAAGAAGCTAATTCCATACACCCTCCCCGCCCCATTTTGCCTGGTCATAACTTCTCAAGTGAATAATATAGTAGGCCTATAAACCTATTTTCAATATGATAATCCATCGGGAGTTATTTTTGGGATGGTAGGGGAACTAAGAGTGCTGTAGAAGCCAGGCCATGTTATGGAACAATTATAGACTTCAGATATTGTTTTCATTTTGCATTGAACGAACCTTCCCCGAGAAGCCCTAAAACAGATCATTTCAGACAAACCCCTCACATCTTAGGACCAAACTTCACCAAATATGATCCTAGAGGTATAATGCCCTGTATCTTTTTACCCGAAAACAGATTTATTTTTTTTCATTTTTTCATATTTTCGACGAGAGAACCCAATTCTGATCCGAGAAGTGAAATTATTGTTTCAAATGAACATGCTGTGATAGTCGAACCCAATGTACGAACTTGACATTTCTACTAAACAGATTTCAGATTATGTGTGCGCAAGTAGTTCGAATGTAACTGAAAATCTTTAGTAGTTTTTCCTTTGTTAATTCATTAATTCGTGATGATAGGCAGTTAGACTGAAAAGGCTTATTGATTGGTAGCATATCGTGAAAGTTTAACATATTATGCATCCATTTCAGTCGAGTTTGGAAGCGTGGCTGCACTTTAATTAATGTAGCAGTTAAACATTGCTAGTTTAGAACCTGAAGTAATTTTGAACGATAAGCTTTATAATAATCTCTTTTATCAATGGGTAAAACCTTCACCGAAATTGAAAGCAAGGGCATATTGCATTCGATTAACAAGCGACTAATATGTAAAAAAAAATATTTGGCCCGCGTGTAAATTACATGGACAGATTATGTTGTGACAGTGAACAAACTATACATATAAACCATTATATTATGCGGACACGAATGTAAATGTAAACATAGACTGTATAGCCTGTAAACTATATTTAGATTTTCGGTGATTATCATAACCTGTAACTCCTTTGAGTGTCAGGGAATCTGACTAAAATTTAATGCCAATTTGGAACTTTTTATAAAAACAAAGCCCGTAGTCTACCTGTATGGAGGGGGGGGGGGGGGGGGGATGGAGGGGGGTAAAAAAAACTTGCTATACAGATCCATGTTTTGTACCATATATAGATAAGGCGAAAACTTAGATCCGAGTCGTACACTCGGTTAAAACTAATCCCTGTGCCCCATAAAGTATAATTATACCCATGATATAAGGGTTCGGGGGTAAAGTATGTATTCATTTTACAGTCAATTAGCACAATCAAATTAAATTTATGGCTAATTAATTTTCAGGATGTTACATTTTATGATCTATATTGTAGTCCAATGAATATCAGTAGCATAATGATCACGATCAGCTGTTTCACGAATACGTCACATGGTAAGAGGTTCAAAGGTGAAGGTCGAATCGTGAAGGTCATCATTTTCAAGATGTCAGCGTCCAGTAACAACGTCCAAGCTCCTCCAGCTCAGATCCCAAAATCTGTCAAGTTTCTCTTCGGAGGACTGGCAGGGTAAGTAGAAAACATATCACAATAATAGCTTAAGAGGTATATCCATATGGAGACGTATGTTGATTTTTGTCTCTTTAGAAATAAGGCTCTCTGAATTATTGTATTGAATGGAATCACGGACACTTGTTCCTAGTTTTCGTTGATTCCGCAGATTCTTATTCAATGAAGATAAAAAAAAAACAAGTGCCAGTGAGTAGAACTCAGTGAGTATTGATTTATGTTCTAGGGGTTTGATCTTATTTTATAAGATTTAGGACAGTAAGGCCTAGTAGCCTACAGACCTGTTTGCTATTGTTGTTAGCCTACTGTTGATACAATTATTGTCAAAATAAGAAATGTGTAAATTTGCTTATTTAGCATTTTATTTCCAAAATCAGCCATTGCAGCAGTTTTAACATGGTACATTATTGTATTAATTTATTAATTTATCATTTTATTTTTAGAATGGGTGCTACTGTATTCGTTCAACCACTAGATCTAGTCAAAAATCGAATGCAGTTAAGTGGTAAGTTTATGTATTCAGATTCTAACTAAGCTTATGTCAACATAATAAACTATTGTATATAAACTACATTATATTTACTGTTACAAGGAATTTCGCCAATAAAAAATTTGCTTTACTGGTTGTAAGAGCTCAATTTCAGTTATCTGTATCACTAAAATATGAAGTATGGTTCTCTTACGGTAAAAGAAAGCTGCACAGTGGAGCCAGTCGGCACTTTCATACATTATACGCAGTTATTGCTATTGAAGTAATGTTTTAGGTAATAACTGCTTATGAGAATCTTAATAATAGCGTTAAGATGATGACAAATTAAATTTCCACCGTTACTGTTGAAGTTTTAGTGAGCTCGATAAAGGATATTATCCCTGAAGCGTCACGTGGTGAAATTGAGCTCTGATCAGATGGTTAAGTATATATTTAGACAACTATAGGGCCTATCCCTTTTAGTCAACTTAAAACTGGTTATTTTTCCTGTCATTCTATTAGATCTTCAGAATGGTTTGAGATAACCATTTGTTGTCTTTGTTTAAGGAACATTTTCTTTTTGACTACAGTTTTATAGTTTCTCATTTATTAAGTTACCTTCACTCTGTTTTGAATTTGTAGGTGTTGGTGGAGGAGCAAAAGAACACAAAACATCATTTCATGCTTTAAAACATATACTGAAAACAGAAGGTCCTTTATCTGTTTATACAGGGTAAGTATTCTAATGGTTCAACTAATTGCTACTTTTATACCCCCCACATATAAATCTAGGATGTTGGAAATTCGCTGTAAAAATCAGTTTGAAACCGTAAGGGTTTGCATACAGTTCTAGTACTTTTGAAGACAATTTACATTTTTTAATGAAGCCCCAAAATCAACCCTTGAATATTTCAATTGTTTCCCATTAGGAAAAGCTATTCCCAATACTTTCTACTTAATTTATATGTGAGGTTGTAATTTATATTCTAGGTTATCTGCAGGTTTATTAAGACAAGCTACTTACACTACTACCAGGTTGGGTATTTATACAACTTTATTTGAAAAAGCTTCTGGAAGGTAAGTGCCTTTTGTTGTTTCAATGATATTGATTATACTCATTATTTATGAGTAATTACAAATTTAAACAGAATATTAATGTATTATTCAAATAAATAGTGTTAAATATATTTTGAAATGAGTTTTGCTTTATTTAAACCAATTAGTTTTATGTAGTTTTCACCTGATTTTCAGATGCATTAGGTACCACTTTTAATCATGAAACTTTGACTGTGACAATGGTCATATTATTGGTATCTGTTTGATCCAATAATAGTTATGGCCTGACAACTTCTGTTACTGTCAAAACATATGTGTATTTTTTATCTTATTGAAGATGAAGCTTAAAGATCATGATAAAACATGTAATTAGCTCAAATCTATCTAATACAAAGGGGAATATTTAGATGACTGTATTTCTTTATAATTAATACAATCATGTACATTGATTGGATGTAGAATTAGGTCAAATTGAGCACATTGATTGGCAGGAACTCATTATCTACATTGACAAAGAAGACTATTATATGGGTGGGTGGGTGACCGCTTGAAACCTCGTATAACGATATCTGACTCGAAATTACTCTTCGAGATAAACGCAAAAAAACTATTTGTATGCGTATTTTGTTAAAATCTTTTTTATTATTTTTTTTTTACCGCTATACGTGGTTTTCATTCTTTGAAAATATAAATAATTTCAGTTCTATTGAACCAAAAACTCGTATAATAATACAGTATACAAGGTTTTTAATTTCATCCGCAGAAAAAGGAACATTGAACCTCGTATAATAATATATTTTACGAGTTAATTTTTTCTTAAGTGATGGGAAACCACCAGGATTTTTAACTAAAGCAGTAATAGGTGTTACAGCAGGTGGAATCGGAGCTTTTGTTGGTACACCAGCAGAAGTTGCTTTAATCAGGATGACATCAGATGGCAGGTTTGTTTTTTATTTTTCTCTTTTTAAACGCTGATGAAGATTGGAACCCACAACCACAATTTGCTCAATGTAACGAAGCATATGACATCATGTAAGGTTTGCAACCCTCTAATTCACAGCTACAGAACCCCTCAGTACAGTGTTATTTATCATATAAGTTCTGTATGTTATTATGAACATTATGTTATTAATTATACAATTATTATTTTTTGTACAAAGTCCTTAAGTTATTTTAAACTTTGAGATATTTATCAAACATGACCATAACTGATGTTCAAGTTAGTTATAATATCAGGTTTTTTCAGAGTGCTAATGTTGTTCAAAGATTTGAGTTTTCATGTTATTAAATTTATTGTGTTTGATTTATTGTAGACTACCACCAGATCAGAAAAGAGGTTATAAGAATGTTATTGATGCTTTATTAAGAATCTGTAAAGAAGAGGGTGTTGTTACTATGTGGAGGGTTAGTATTATCTGTGTAGAGTTTATTTGTTCACAAGTGTATGTATGTATGTATAATTTTCAAGGTTCGAGTGTATAATCATTTATCACAGGCACAAAATATCAAAATATCAAGTCCACCATTGACAGAAACTGAAGAAAACAAGTGACTGAAAACACATTTTTTTAAATTTTGATTATTTTTAATGGGCTCAAAAAAGATTAAGTATTATTTTTGTCACCACCTTCACAGGCATCATAAACAGGGGAATCCAGTTAAATAATGCGATTTGTTGAATAGTAAGGTATAATTTGATGGTAATAATGGTTATTTTCAGGGTTGTATACCAACAGTTGGCAGAGCAATGGTAGTGAATGCAGCACAATTATCTACTTATTCACAGGCCAAACAAATACTTGTACAATCAGGTAAGTTTTCTAGAATTCTTGTAAATAAGATATTAATGGGAGATGACTGGAATGCAGGTCAGGTGTATAATTTGTGTTTTTGCCATCAATGATCTGATTTTTTCAGTTGAAATTTTTTTGTTTGCTTAGCATGAATTATAATAAATCATAACTGAATCAAATCAAACTGAATGAACGTGGCTTTTAAGAATTTCTCAGATCAGGTGTGGCTAGTTTAGTAAAGAGAAGAAAAACAATACTGTGTTTGATGATTATTGAATGAGCCCAAATTTTATCTCATATACCATGATATCATAGGCATAATTTCTGATATCAAAAATTTAGATATTGTTTTTAACTTTAGGTTACTTCCATGATGGTTTGTTTCTACATTTCTGTGCTAGTATGATCAGTGGGTTGGCTACAACAGCAGCATCTATGCCTGTAGATATTGCTAAAACTAGGTAATATAAATTGATCATTTTCAGCTACATGTGTTGCTTTTATGAAATCTGACATTCACTTTGTCTATGATTGAGTAAAACTTATTTATGACGGTCAATAGATTAAAGACTTATAACAAAACACAACACATATTATGGAATATAACACACTTCTTTAATAAGGTTAGGCACATAACATCTCAACACAATATACACATGTCGTCATCAGATGTAATGTTAGATTATCTTATATACTGTTATAAACCTTCTGGCCTTAGTAAAAATAATGGTTAATGTTTTCAACAGCACTAACGGCCATTCTTCTTACATTACTATGATTTTTATTCTGAATTGTTATTCTGAATAATGAGCTAAATTTGAGCTCTAATCTATTGGTACAACACAGTTTTAGACAACTATAATTTTAATGTTTGAGGCTTGTTTATAAGAATAAGTACATTGGAGATGACTTTATTTATTAGGGACAAAGTAGAAGGAATATAATTTCTTTGTTTATATATTCTGTAGAATTCAAAGTATGAAAATTGTAGATGGTGTACCGGAATATAAAGGTGCTCTGGTGAGTGAATTATTTCTTATATTGATGTGAGACTAGAATAATGATATGGAGGTTTTCTTTTATATCTAAACACTGATTGCAGCCATTTCAGGTCATAGACCTCCTTCAGCCATTGTAGGTCATAGACCTCTTTTAGCCATTATCAGTAAAAGACGTCTTCAGCCATTATAGGTCATAGACCTCTTTTAGCCATTATCAGTAAAAGACGTCTTCAGCCATTATCAATCTAAGACCTTCTATAGCCATTATCAATCTAAGACCTTCTATAGCCATTATCAATCTAAGACCTCTTTCAACCATTATAAGTCCAAATACCTCCTTCAACCATAATCAATCGAAGACCTTCTTCAACCATCATCAGTCAAAAATGTCATTCAGTCATTATCAGTCAAAGACCTCCTTCAGCCATTAAAATTAAAAATTTCTCCTTCAACCATAATCAATCTAAGACCTCCTTTAACCATTATCAGTTAAAGACATCCTTATCGGTCCTTAACATTAGGATCAAAGACCTCTTTCCATCATTATATCCAAGACCGAGTCAGTATTAGCTGTAGACTAGGCTTCTTAAGTATTTAAATAAGATATAATTTTTTTTCAGGATGTTTTGGGTAAAGTTATAAAAAATGAAGGTTTTTTCAGTTTATGGAAAGGATTTACACCATATTATGCCAGACTAGGGCCACATACAGTTCTAACATTTATCTTTTTAGAACAAATGAATAAGTATTATAAGAAAATTGTATTAAAGGATACAAGTGGTGTAGGTGGAGGATTATAATGTAGGTGATTATTAGGTCACAAATAAATCTTACGCAATGAAGGTTTCACAACAGCACATTACAATTACAGTACAGTTATATTGATATAAATATTCAGAACTGTTGAGCATGTGAATTTACACTATATGTGATATGACAGCAAGTTGCTGTTGTGAAACCTCATGTTCAAATGATAACAGATAGTCACTTATAAATTTACTGGTTATCACACTTCCTGTTAGCAAGAGGTCTGTGTGGCATGGATAAGTAAGGTATGAACAGATATTTCTCTGTTTACAGACATGATAATTTAATTCATATACATGGAGCAACAGTAACAGCTTACAGAGAAATATTTGTTAACACCATGTACTTGTTTTTGAAGTCATACATGTTGGTTGTAACGGTCTTTTTGAACTATTGATATTTTTAAAAGATATTGGAACTATTTTTAAGGTGCTAATTGTTACTGAATGACCTCACAAGTATTTTTGTAAATAATCTCTTCAAAAAGAATTCTCTATGACATCCTGAGTGCTCTTGATATACTAGGACCTTTTAAATATTAACATTTTATCATAATAAAACAAAAACTTTATCAGTGATTGTAAAATGGACTGTAAAGATTAGACATTAAATATAAGACTATACATTTTCGCAATATACATCAAAATTTTGAGGTTTTTCGCAAGTAATCATAATTTAATTGTTTTCTTTTAATGTTATAATTAGCTAGACTAATCTAATTGTTTAATTACTGTAATGTTACTGAAACCATTGTTTATTAATCCCTTTTAATTTAATAGTGATTTATTCTTCATAGGGAAGTCAATTAATAGCTGACCCATGCACTCAATAAAAATTTAATGTACATGAATTGACATTTGATACATTGAATATGAATTGACATTGATGTACATTTGTTGGATTATTATGAATTGGCATTTGATTCATTTACATTAGATGAATATGAATTTACAATAAAGAAATTGCATTTGATTCTTTGCATGAAATGAATATGAATGGACATTTGATTCTTTACATTAAATGAATATGAAATGACATTTGATTCATTCACTGAAGATGAATTGACATCTACTTGGATTAAATGACATTTTCTCTATTTTTGTTACATGAATTGACATTTAAAACATTTTCATCAGATAAATTATCATTTAGATTTTAGGTTTGTGATTTAAATACATGTATATCTATTATCAAATTTTGATCACTTTATTTTTTAGATGAATTTAGCTTCATGTAATCATAACATATCTGTATAGACTAGTTAATTTACACAAAGATTTTAGGAATTTATATTAATGACCACAGTTTATGAAATATAGAAGAAAATGAATTTTAGAATAGATAATTGAACTTGTCTCTGTATAGTATCTTTCACACCAATTAAGATTCAAATCTAACAGTATTGAAAGATTCTTGTAATTAATGATAATTATTATATAAGTCTTATATAGTTACAAAATAAGACTGTTCTTGTTTCATACCTAACTATGTTATTGTGTCTAAATAGGGAGCAAAGTAATCTTATCCTGTTTTTCGTGAATATCTTACAAATTGTGTAATTTATAAGAGGTAAAGAGTACAATATGTCAGGATATTGGATGTCTATATCCAATAGTAATTGGACAGAATAACTGTGATTATATTTGTTATAAACTGAATTTCCTGTTGTATACAAGCATAATAAGAAATATATTCATGATAAGCTAATCAAAATAATTTTGATATTTTTGATGACATGATAAGCTATGTTCTATTTGATATTGTATGTAATGACTAGTCAATTACTGCACATAATTAGCAAAATAAGCAGTTGACATAGAAAGGTAATTTATAACTAAGTCATTATCAAGAGTTGAAGTTCATATTAGGCATTTGTTGTGAAGTGCAGTTTAAGGGGGCAGATGCAGCATTTAGGGGGCTTGAATATATGTAAAAAGAATTTCTTTTCCTGTTTCTATAGACACACATGGATTTGAAAGCTCAAATTTAGATGGTGAGCTGATTGGCTTAGCTTAAAAAAGTCCCAGTTTCTGTCCCTTTAAATTAGTCAATTATTTAGCATTATAGATTATTAAAAATCATGAAATATAATAAATGTGTATTGATTTGGTATGTGTGTTTATCAATGTATGGTATTTGTATAATTTATGATGAACTGTATATTTATTATAATGGAATGTTAACAATGAAATACCAATCATTTGTTGTTGAAATATTTTATATTATATAGTTTGACTTGTGATCAGTAATAATCATGTAATATATCTGTGGTGGTTTGTGTAAAATGTAACCTTGTTATAAAATGAAAAATGAAAATAGAAATCCAAAATAGAAATTTTAAAAGGAAGTTCAAGTATAGTGAATGGTTGTGAAGATGAACATGGGTAGTCTACCTTTTTTTGGCGTATATTACAGTAGCTTTAAAGACAAGATTTGCATCGTGTTAATTGCTGTTTAACTGCCTACAGAATAAGTGAATTTCAAGGAAAAAACAGCTGATATATGTAACCAATGGTTGTCTTAAATGCCTGGAATTGTCAGTAAATTCTGGAGTGATTTTACTGAAAATTCCAGGTATTTCATGTAATCACTGGGTAATTACATCAGCTGTAACATTCATAAGCTGGAAGTTTGGTTTGAATCATCCACAGATGTGTATTTTATTTTTTATTCTATACATGGCCAGTAACAATCTCCATGTGATAAGACAAAAACCCACAAGATATGATTTGTATGTCTTTTATTACATATTTGTGTTCATGTTGTGAAAATATTGGATTTAGTCGAACAATGATATTTGTGTTCACCTGAGACAATTCAAAACAATGTTAAAGTCGATTGTTTTGAATTGTTCCCAAATAAATATCATTGTACGAGTATAATTCTATCTGAAAAAGATCTTTCAGGAAAAATTTCTAGTAATATATATAAAGATTTATTGAAATGAACTTTGGTTGTTATTTAAAATGTAATAACCAGTTACAGCACATTCAATCTCTTATTCTTACACTAAATCTAATTGATCCAGGAAATTATTATTGGTGAAGAGGAATTATACATCAGTACACCACAGGATTCCATAGTAATTAACCTTATGCAATAAACGCTATCTTGTTTGGGTAGCAAAGTGAATTTTGTACTCTGAACTAATAACGTCGATACAGTGATTAAACGATAACAAAAGAGGGTAAACCTAGGCCTAGATGGCGCCGACTTCCAAATATTAGAGGATGAGGGTCTTTTCTCTCAAGCTCCACTGCACAATATATAGTCAAACAATATTCCGATGTTTGTGCACATAAAACTAATATGACTAGTCAACTATTTCAGAAGTTATAAACACAATAACTCTATTAACTTCAGGACTAGAATGCTGCTAGTTACCCTTGTAAATTGAACTGAGATCACCATATTGAAAATAAAATAGGTCGCTTGTTTCCATTCAAATGTCTATTTTCAGAGCTACAATAACAAAGTATGTCATTCAGTTTGAGAATCTATATTTATTTAATAGTTACTGCATAATTTATATTTTACACATACCATAATAAAAAAATCAAATAATTATTTATGAAATATTGTATTTTTAGTAGAAAAATTTTTTGAATTGAAAACTATTTTGTCTTGCAAATTTTAAAATTACACAGTGATTTGACCCTGTGATTCTAGCCAATCACAATCAATCTGCATACAGAGTTATCTGCTCATGCCTGTTAACCTGGCAAAATGTCAACCTTTCATTACTGAGACAATGTTTAACTCACAGAAACTAATGAACAAGGTGAAGGTTGAGCTGAATGAAACACAATATAATTGTTGGTCATGTTCTTTCAATTTCTATTTTGTTTTATTTTATAATAAAGTTTACTGTTTGTGATTATATAATGTTCAGGATGTCAAAAGACGTCTTCGCTGAACATATCTGGGTTATAATTTCTATATATTGATAGATAAATGTGAATTTACAAATAAGAAACACCCCTGACAGAAATAAAAATATATATTCAAGAAAGAATATTTCTAGAAATCATCCAATTTAAATTCTTTAACAACATCACTAATTCCCTGGCCTTCTTGTAGTAGTTTTCTCTTTCTTTCCATTCTGTTTACTGAAGGTGGCTTTGGTTTTGTCTTGACTTTTGTTTCAACTTTTCGAGGTTCATCACTTTCCTCATTACTCTCTGGATCATCATCATCATCATCATCAATATCTTCATCATCATCATCATCTTCACTGGCTGATTCAGCCAATTGTTCCAATTCATCGCTATCATATTCGCTGAAATTCAGAAAAATTAAACCAGTGTTAAGATAAAATCTGAAATATGTCTTTAATTATATTCATTTTCAATCTACATATATATTATTATGAATTTTCACAAACAGCACCCGAGACAGTTGTCTTGCACCCACCTTAAATTATCTCCACTAAAGTCTTCGACAGAATCATCATCATCATCTTCTTCAACATCAATTTTCTTCTTTTTATTCTTCACTTTATCAGCTTTAAATCTTCAATTATATTATTAAATCATCAAGCATGTAAAGCATAATGCCATTAATAATTATTGCTTATTTTATTACCTCTATTCACAGACAAAAATAAAGATGCATTGTATCAAGTGAATCATTTGAAATGTTATTAAATATTGCTAAGAACTTCTCAGTTCTGTTGATAATTCAATTAAAAAGGGGTGATAACTGGTATGTGGAAAAATAAACTAGTAGAAAATTTCAGATCTGTTTGTTTCATCTTGTGGGTCTAAATTTTTTGACTGACTCCGTACTCATAAATATCATGGAATTATTGTTGACCTTTGTTTAAACTAAACTTACCTTGTTTCATCATCTTGAGAATCCTCACTATCTGAGTCAAATAATGCTGAAAACTCCTTCTTTTCCTCATCTGTTGGTTTGATAGGTCCTTTAGGTCTCTTGATAGTTGGTAATTCTGTTACATCAGTTAGCTTTAAATATCAAATATACAATGTCTAATAATATTACAATAGAGTATTACATCAATACAAGATTCCTATCTTTAAAATAAAGCATGAAATCTGATGCAAAAAACTGAGAGGAAAACAGGCAAACAAGTAAGAAATTTCAAAAATTTGTTATGTGGTCATATTGTGGCAGGGTCAAAGAACCAATGTAGACAAGAACGTTCTCACTTATTCATGTAATATGACTATGAATATCAAATAGTTGTATTTGTATAGAGACAAATTTTGTTTCCATAATTCAGAACAAAGAAGATTCAAGAGGAGCAGCAAATAATGAGCAGAGATGTGTCTTGTCAATGTTTTGATAAATATTTGAACTGTAAGTATCAACAACTAAATAATATTTCTCACCCTATCTTTTCCTGATATTTCATGTTGTATTTCTTTATCTCTTAATACTCTCCATGCCTTATAGAATTTACTGATAGGTGTACCTTCATCTTTAATCTTCCTTTCCCACGCATCCTGTAACAGCATATTCATTTTTATAACCCAACATAGAAACGTGGCCGTATATTTTCATGGCCCTTTTTCATTGGTCTGTTCAATAGAGACTACAATTTATATCTCATTTCATTTGATTTGGTGTGATCATTTAGAACAAGTGAAAAGAAGACAAATTTTCAACCAACATTTCTTTTATTATTATCAATAAAAGAACCCAATTACTAAGATAAGAACTGCATAATGAAATTCAAAGTACAAAATTTTACAACTGAATTATAATTGGTATTCCATAGTTTTGTGAAATAAAATGAACACTTACCACAGCATTATCATTCTCTAATGTAAAATTAACATATTTTCTCTTCTGTGTTATAAATTTACTATTTTCATCAATTTTATCCACTATCTGTTTTATTTGTTTACAATAATTAGCTATTTTACATTTCTTTAAAAATGCTTTCAGCTGAAAAACAACAGAAAATATAAATGGTGATATTATTAGATACACTAAGTTTATTTTCAAAGAAGAGCATCAAGCAGATTTAGCTTTAAACCAATGGTTTGGATATATACTCTTGTTCTATGTATGGATACATAGAGTGGAATTATTTGCATTTCAGACTTAAAACGCCATAAAGGCACACAGCAGTAAACTTATAGGTATAGTAATCATAAATAACTTGACAGGAGATTTGCATAGAACCTGTAGTATGATAAGTGGGCAGGCAAAAGCCGGGCCACCCTCTATTTTGAACCACCTAAAGAAATTCCACTAGATTGATAGGTCCAATATGATATATGATTTATTGTGATAATATATACCTGTAAAACTGCTGGTAATACCAGTTCAGGAAATCCAATAGAATGAGAATGAACTTTAAGATGATCCATTAACAATTCATATAACTGGTCTATTAAGCCATCCTGTAAACAAACAAAATGTAATTCTTAATTAACATGTTAATCAACATGTTTCATCAATTCAACTTTAAATAGCCATTTTAAGACATCACTATTGCAATAGCTGCTGATATTTAACCCTTTAAACCATACCGGCCATATTACTGGCCACACACTAACACATTATATACCCGAGCAGCCCGTATACCAGCCATTACTAAGTGACGTCATACGCTTTTACTTTCATTACCTTGAGTACAGGGTTATATTTCATTTACACTCAGGGTTCAAAGGGTTAAGGGCCTTTGTGACATTGACTTCCTAAAATGCTTATTTTTAGTAGAATTTAAAAAACTGCAAACATTTGACTGAAAATTGGATGATGAAAAGCCATGCTATCCTTGTCTTGAAGTCTAGAAAGATTAAATCACCTTGAATGCCTTCTCTTCTGTTTGTGCCTTGGATAACTTGAGAACACATGAAAAATTCAAAGGTTTAAAACTCTGTGTCTTGTGCTTTTTATTAAAATCTACCTGTTCAAAAATCTGAAAAGATAAAGAAATATGATGTAATTAGTTATATATCAAAAAGGTAATAAAGAAACAAAGTGATGTTTTAACACTATACCGATTGATATGGTTGTTGTCTGTAGTATAAATTAAGATACTCTTATCAAGATTTATCTCCCCTCTACAATGTTTAACAGTATATTCTGTCAGTGATTTTGTAATGAAATGTTAAAATAAATTAATATTAATACAACTATGCCATTAGAAATGTGAAAAATATTACATCAATTTGAGATGACATGTAAATAATGATACAAAAACATCAGATGAATTGTAAATAATGATGAAAAGTGTAAATAATAATTCAACAATGTCAGCTGAAATGTAAATAATGATGCAACAATTCAGATGAAATGTAAATAATGATGAAAAATTCAGATGAAGTGTAAATAATGAGATACAGTGTCAGATTATATGTAAATAATGATGTAACAGTGTCAGATTATATGTAGAAATGAATTATGTTATAATTCTAACATAGAATAATTGCAGCTTCCTTTTTTGTATCTTGGTTCTCAGGTTTTTTTTCGGGTCAAATTTGATTGGCAATGATGTCTGGAATATATGATTACCATGTAATGTATGGGTCGTAGCACAGTTGTGGGTTGTTATCTCAATCAACATGTGGCAATCTGGTGACCTTGAATAAGTTAGGTTTCATAATTATTCCAGACAACCCAGCATTGAATATGACAGATAATCTGGGAAAGATCAATGCCAAGGAAAAAAATCAGCTGCTAGACAGGATGCACATGAATCTTTAGTTCTTATTTTGGTAAAAAAATATTTTTCCTTTTTTTAATTTTAATTTTGTACCATCAGAAATTGAAAATGTGATTATCGAAGTAAAACTGAAGTTCAGGAACATTATTTGGCACATGAGCATAGCTTTCTTTTCTTGCAATCATTTTAGCATGTCATGTTTATAGTCAAGGAACATTGCTAACAGGGTACTAGTGTATCTAGTTAAAGACTTATTTCTATAACTATCACAGTCAATCTAATTAAAATCATTTCAAATTAATTCTCTATTAAATATTAATTCTGACCTTGAGGCAATAGGTTTTAGTCACGGCATAAATTCATGTCCTTAGATTCACCTTCTTTCACCTCAATCAAATATGTTTTGACGTCACTGTAAAAACAAAGTGGGGTATGAGGCAATGACATGCTAGGTTAGTGTGAGGGCAATAGAGCACATCATTCACACTAGATATGAGAATGATATAAACCAGACAGATTGACCAGAAAGGCCAGTATGATTAGAGAATTATTATTATAAACTACAAATTTTAACGTGGACATCACACCTAACCTAATGAGAGAGTTGTCACACATTGAATCATGGTTCATATACATCATTTTTTTTACAATGTTGGCATTATTCACCTGCAATATTATATGCATGTATTGTATATGTGCATAAAAAAATAACAGAATTCTAATGAATCACCACGAAAACACCACCACATACTCATCCAAATTGAAACCTGAGTACCATTAAAGTTATAATTGCTGTGGCACATGTTCCAAGGGAACAATCACCAGTCAGGAATATTCTGTGTCAGTGGAAACTTAATTATTACAAAATAATTTGTCAATCATCCAAACGAAAGCCATGCAGAAACTGAAACATGTACCTTGTATGTGCAAGTTACTGCCATCTATTTATCAACCAACAGCACAGAATCTACTACTACGACTACCAACAACTACCTAGTTTGTGTTATCAGCATCCAAATGTTAATGACCAACCAATCTATTGCTATCTAATCTGACAAGTTTTTCATCTCTATGGCAATGAGTTTGTGGAACTCAAGTCACAAAAAGCATTTTGATGTATATGTTGGTATAAACAACATCAACAACTAAGACATATCAACTAAGAGATACAATTAATTTTGATTTCTAACAAATAATGAAAGTAAATAACAATACAAAATATATTAAATAATGAATAGATAAAAAAAAATAAGAAATAGTATAAACAAACATATTTTTTTAATAAACAGAAAATTTCATTTTCACTTCTTTAGACAATTATCACTACATCAGTTTTTTAATCTCATTTATATAACTTAAAACATAATATTAATATTAATAATATATAGACACAAAAATTCACCAAATTCTTACTAATGATGATGTAATATTCATTATCCATCATACATTCATACATCAAAATATTTCATGCACAACAAATTTTATTAAACGTTTTTTTTACATTCATCAATATAAATAGTATAGATGCTAATAACACCTACTATATATTCATTTATTTAATAACTTTGAAACAATTGGTATTAATGGAATATTCTAATTAAACATTTATGTCTGCTTTAATTAGAGATGGGAATCTGAATCAGCAAATGGAAGTTTTTGCACAGAGGCAACAACCTTCTTTTTATTGAAAAATCAGATATTAAGAAGACATTTTAAAGTTACCAATAAACACCAACTTTTAGTCAAAAACTCATTTCAACAAAGCACATATTTTCTGTATTAATTAAAAAACAAATCAAATTCTTCATACAATATGCACTGAAGAAGCTCAATTATAGATCACAAACTGATAATTTGTAAGTATAAAGACTGTGTGTAAATAATCATAGTTTTAAGGTTAGTAAATGTCAGGCTGTTGTTAGTTAAAATCACAAACTGATTATTAATAGTCATAGACTGATTAGATATAAGCCTCCCTGACTGATTGTTAGTAGAATCACTGACTCATTGTTAGTTAAACATCCGAATGATTGTTAGTAAATGTCATAGACCAATTGTTAGTAAAATCACAGACTGATGGTGAGTAAAATCACAGAATGATGGTGAGTGAAATCACAGACTGATTGTTAGTGAGCGCCACAGACAGTATGTTAGTACACACAATAATAGGCATTACAGTCAGATTGTTAGTACACTATATTTAATCATCATAAACAGTTAGCTTAGAAGCATTACAAACTAATAAAATACATTTTTCATCAGAAGTCAAAAAAATAGGTTGTTTATTAGGTAGTCTAGAAGGTATTTTTACCATCAGACTTTTTTGCTTCAATAATGAAAATAACACTTCTGACATCGTGGGTCTGGCATGTTCATCATGTAATTACATGTAGGTAAGGTATGATATGACACGAGAATGGTTCTAAACAACCTTGCTCTACATACAAAAACTATGTGTCTTTAGTCTATGCATTATATGTACATTGCAACAATAATATAGTACCAGTATACAGTTAGATTAAAAAATTACAGATTTTCCACTAAAGTTTGTGATCTTCCATGGTATTCCAAATACTTCACTATCATAATTCTTATACCATTTTGAAAAAAAGTTAGGAATGAATACTTATTAATTCTCAGAAAGCTTGCCAGGCAAGGTAATATACGCCCACTGGTAGCTTTGATTTTGAATCAAAATATTTAGTAGTACAGTTACAATCACCAGTATGAAATATTCTTTAGGGCAATACTGAATAATATTAAGTATGAGTTATTCTTGAAAACGTGTTCAATTTTTAGGCAATTATTCAATCTTCAGCGCGGGACTGAATAATAAAACCAAGTTTTGTCAAAATCCAGCAAGAATCATGCCTTTTAGTGTTAAAGAGCTAAATTTGAAAGCAATTTCAAGAACAAGGGCAGTAACTCATACTAAATACTTTTCAATTCTTATGATTTTCAATAGGGTTCATCCTTGTGTGATTACAAATACTCACATCAAGTTTCATCAAAATCCATCAAGAATTGTGCCTTCTAGAGTGTTTACGAGTTAAAAATTGAACGCATTCTCAAGAACAAGGGCAATAACTCATACTAAATATACTTCGATTTTTCTGATTTTCAATATGGGTTTATCCTTGGGTGATAACAAACACTCATGGCAGTTTCGTCAAAATTCATCAAGAGTGTTTACGAGTTAAAAATTGAACGCGTTTTCAAGAACAAGGGCAATAACTCATACTAAATATTTTTCGATTCTTCTGATTTTCAATAGGGTTCATCCTTGGGTGATTACGAACACTAACACCAAGTTTTGTCAAAATTCGTCAAGAATTGTGTCTTGTAGAGTGTTTACGCACAATTGTGGACGGACGGACCGACAGAGATAGGTGACGGCAATATACGTCCCCCATTTCACGTGGGCGTATAAAAATGAAAACTTGACACAATTTCTTATACACACAAGGATTCTGTGTCATTTGTTATTAAAGGTGGATAAGAATTAATCGTGCCGATACATCATGATTATTTTTATCCAACATGATGCATCGAAAAGGAAAGAACCGTGGTTCATCGATTCATCGTTGCAGCCCTGTTCAGTTGTCTATTGTTTTTTTTTATTTGTGAAAACAAGATCACATGCATTTACAAATCTAAATCAAACAGTATATATTAGTCAATCAAATGATATGTGTATATAGGACTAATAGTAATGCATCTTTAATTACTTCATATTTAGATATCAAACATAATCATATCATCTGATATGATATATAAATATTTAGAAAACACACGATTATGATAATATATAAATCAGTCTACTATATATAGAAACTTTCATGTACTTGATACAACCTTCTGAACAACCTTGAGAAAAATGTAAACAACTTTGACCTCAATAAGATGTAAACAAGATTGACCCAGGTGCAATTGTTCTACAGGCATGCTTTAAATTGGGTATTAATTGGAAGCGAAATGGAATCAATTGGCAATAATTATCATTTATCAAGTTATTTAGCTCCAGTAAATCATTACAGTACCGTACATATTTAGACTAATAAACATAGAATAGCTATTTACAAGTATTGCATCAGCTTTTCACCTTCACAAGGTCATGGTGTATAAAGATTCAGATTCATGGAATAACATCATTTTCATGTAATTTATGTTTTGACCCAACACTAAGATGTTGCTTGATGATTTGACTTGAGTTTCATTTTGATGATGAGTTTTTAAGGACTATGTAATTTCTGGCCAACTTTCTTTTAAGATTTCACATATTGATTTGGTACATGTTTACTTAAAAATCAATAAGCCTGCATCTGGTGTAGAAGTAACTAAAATGGTATTGATAAAATATATGTACTTAAATTAAACTCAGTCTTCTAATCAATAGTGCAGTACCAGTAGCACCATATTGCAGTAGAGATATATTATCGATTATACCCATTCTACTTCCGCAATCAATACCAAGTTAATATCCAATAGATTTATTGTATATCTCTCTAAATACAGAGATAATGTAGATTTTAACTGTTCTACGTCATTCATGACATGTCAATAAAATTTTTAATTATTATTTCTAGAAATAATAACCATACAAGTTATTTCTATCATTTTCGAAAAAAATTGGATAACTGTCTCCTCTGTTAAAAGATTTTTAAGTTTAACATGACATGAAGACATTTTTATGGACATTTAAATTACTCAATGTCAGAGATCTTTAATATGCACAGCTGCATAGCTAGCAGCACATTCTATATTCTTTAGAATCCCAGCCCCTTCCTCCTGACAGATGAAAACAGGGTGGCAACATGGATACATGTTATACTTTACTAATGCAATGGCATATTTTACCATGTATTTTTGCCCAGCTATCTTTCAAGAAAGGATTTTCCTTTTCAGTTTGACTGTCTTCATTTTGTATGATTTGGATATCTGTCCCAATAATACTTACTGTATGTACCTGTATAAAGACAATATCTAAATAATCAGTCAATGTCTGGTTCTCACCGCATTAGATATATTATGAAATAACTGGAAGATAATTATAGAACTAGATGTAACCAAATCAATCTTGTAGTGCTAATAGAATGATTAGTTGTTAAGTAACCTTTATTTTCTTCAGGTTAACAAAATGACATTTCATGTCAAACCAATGTCAACAAGTATACCACTATAAATTTTAAACTGACCCTACAATGACAAAACTCTTAATGGTGAATAAAAATGTCAACATTTTGCAAAGCACTTTGGAGTTGACATTAAAATTGCAGTCATATATCTTAATGACTTTCTTTTCCAGATGAGACAAATGAAATATAGAAAACATGATAAATCATTATTAAGCAGAGGAAAAAACAGCTATGTCTAGACAATATGACATACAGTGTTAGGTTATATAGAAAACCTACTAGTAGTCCAGACTAGCTCTTCCATTTCTACATCTAACAAAGTATTGAACATCATGATCTCTTTTTCATTGAGTGGCATCATGTGTTTTAGGAAGATGAGCATGTTCTATTTCTTAAACACACCCCAAGATACAGTATACTATAATTTATTTCAGTGCTACTGGAATTCTATAAAGGCTTCAAAATCTTGTAGTTGGTAAGTTGAGGAAAGAACGTAGAGAAAGTCATGTTCACTGATGGAGTCATCAGCCTATTCAGCCAGAAAATTTTAGTTTATTTCATTAATCTATTTGTCCTTTGTAAAGCAACTGAAGTAAGAATTAGGATTTGATTTTGAGCTATGAACACATAAAGATCACATCACAGATAGATTCCAGGGCATTATAGGTAATACTAGGTTACAGTTACAGATGAGAGCTGATTTAAGGTACAGAGTTAAAACAGACTCAAACAACTGAATTAGTTGAATACCATTCAATAAAATCCTCCCTACCAATCCTCAAGTTTAAACAATGATAATGGAATAC